AGCTATGAAGAGCGATCTACTCCAAGTTTTGAAGCAAGAGTGGGCGAAAATCCCACAATCAAAATTGACGAGATGATTCTCACGATGCCCCAAAGGATCAACGAACTCCAAGAAGCGAAAGGAAGGTCTACTAGATATTAATTAAATTATAAATATATCAATTCATGTGAATATGACTGAAAATTTTAATTTTTTCTGAAAAGGTGGTGCTGTATATATTATTATTTTGGAATATCTTTTTGGTTTAATGAATTTAGAAAACAAACTACACTGAAATGGCTAATAAGTTTCATTAGAATCAATATAAATCATGTTTGTTAATAAATTATATGAAAACAAGTTCGTTTAATTCGAATTTTTTTAGACTCTACCTACTCAAAATGAGATACAGTAGTCCAAGATAATATAGTTATAATTTGGTATATGCTTCATTATGTTCAAAGGTCTTAATATCTATATACATAAATATACATTAACTGCTTAAGTCTTGTACATTCGGGCATAGCTTTGTAACAGTGTTCACCTTGAGGTTCTGCGTTTTCATTAATAGAAAAATTATAAAATGCATTAACACAGTATTGTTAAAAAGTAAGTCCTTTCAAAAATTAAATAAATAAATTTACCAAAACCAGTATCTTTCCTGTATTCCAGCCTTACTGTGTGATTCACACTACATGTAAATTGTGGTTGTGTACAGCCTACAATTATCTGGAATAAGACATAAAACTTATCAGATTTAATATAACAGTTACACCTGTAAAACATACAAGTAATTGTTAAAATAAAAATAATTTTAAGCTGACGAAATTAAAAGGTTGAGCTAATTATGTTGCTTATAAATACATATAATGTAAAATAAAACAAAAATGGGGTTTTAAACATCTTTGTAAACAACATTTATCTTGTAAGTAACATGAGATTATTTGGATATATATATATAAATGCCTCTCTCCAACTAACAATTATCAGAAATGTAGAATAAATTATGAGGTATGATGCAACTTATGGTTCTGTTCAACTTACAACTGGATTGAGATAATATTTCTATTTATACAGATTACAACAATATAATAAAATTTATAATGACTGACATAAAATTGGTGTTTGTAGCTTACAATTATAATGTGTTATTCTTCAGGTGAGCATATAAGCATACATCGAACTTCGTTCTACAAAAATAGATTTTTAAGTTTTAGATTTTCTTTCAGGCTACAGTTATTAAATATTCAAAACAAATCTGCATGTTTCAGATTAATGCACAACTTACATTCATCTGAAATGTTACAGAAAAAATTTCATGCAATTTTGGCTTCTGTACAGCTGTAGAGGGTTGAGTATGTTATGTTAAACAGTTTTGAATATGAAAGTCAACTAGTCACATGACAACCATGTGAAATGGCAAGTATCACAACTGTGTTTTAACATTATTTGGTATTTCATAAGTAGTGTGATGCCACTGAAATTTTATCACTTTTGGGAAGGGTATGCAACGGCCCTTACCCAAATAAAATATATGCACACTCAGATCATAATGATACATTCATATCTTGGATTTAATGTTTTGAAGATGGAAATATCCATTGAACTTAATGGCATTGGAAAAGATAGTTATATGAATCAACTTGGGTTACAAGGACCATACAGAAAGAAGCCTGCAACAAGTTGTACCCCAACTGTGATAAGCAAAGTGTTGGATTTTGTAACAAGTGAGAATCCGTGAATACAAAGATCAATTGGAAAACTTGTCCATATGTCCTAGGCAACAGTATGCAATATAATGAAAAACAATCTCCATCTGAAAAAGTGATGCAAGTTACATGTACATAAGTTGCCAGATGCAATGCTTATGGATTTCTATGTAACTAGACTGTTGAAATATGCTCTGGAAAACCATTGTCCTCATACACTACATGGAGGGAGATGTGTTGTGTTTTGGACATGACAGTTTTTTGACAATGAAAACTACACTGCAGGACTACTGTCAAGATGCACAGTCATCAGATAGAGCATGACAAAACATAGTAACATGGACTGTAAGGACATTCTGAGGCTCCACAATCATTTTAATATGACATACTCAACCTCTGTATTACTATTTTAAATGTTACATAAAACTCATCAATTTCAAAGGAGAAATTCTATCCGAGAAGAGGCCTATTAAAATTGTTAGACATAACACAATAAAAAATTAAATCAATCAATAAAATATAATTTTACACTTCACCTTAAACTGTATCATGTATCCTTCTCCTACAATGAGTTCACATGTAGTCAGGCTTTTTTCTCCTTCAACAGTATTATTCATCCAAACTAAAGATAAGCTGCTGTGTCTACAGTAGTTTTTCTTGATCTATAAAGATAAGATGAAAATAACAAGTAACCTAACATTTTCAAGTATTTTGTTTAAGAGGGGATGAAAAGAGAGAAAGAATGGATTGTTAGATAAAGTAAACTCCCTCTGACCATTTCACATATCTGTAGTTTGAAAATCAAAGTAATTGAAAAATCTTTTTCAAGGGTATTCTTAATTAAGACAAATGGTCTGTATGAAATAAGTAGACCATACTAATAAAACAACATGAATGGTAAAGACTCTTCATATGTTTTGCTTTTAATTCTGATTGAATCAACAAAACAATCTCAAGGTATTTTGTACTTTGTTCACTTGTTAGTATATAAAACTCACAATTATCTATTTACCTATGTATGCTAGACATTTAAAAAAAAGTACACTAAAAAGCACAATTTTCTTGTACGTATTTCAAAATACGAATGAAAGGCTTGAACTTATAACATGCTTAGTAGGCTTATATAGAGAATTGGTTATAATCTAAGGTAGTAACTTGCATATCAAATCATATTGTTCCTGGCTATTCCCAAGACCCACGACTACACAGGTTAAAAGCCCTGGCCCTCTTACTGAAATTCAGTTAAAGTATGATAATTTGTAAAAGTGACTTATTTTTATGAGGGTTAAATTATAGGGCTTTCCTACATGAAGTTCTCCTATTCCATGATTATGACAGCTTGAAAGAGGACATTTTAGGGATATCTGTAGTGTTGCGCTATGAGTAATGCAAAGGAAAGTTACTTCATAACCAGATAGAAGTTGCACATTAGAGGTAATGAAGAAACCTGAGAGTTTTAAAATATTTAATTTTACATATCCATAGTTTGAAAAGCAAAGTAACTGAAAAATCTTCATGAAGGGTCTCCTTAATTAAGACAAATAGGTTCTATAAATAAGCAGATTAGACTAATAAAACAACATATAAAAAAATCATTGTTATTTATCTATCTCTATATGCTGGGCATTTAAAAACTGTAATATAAGTAAAGCAGGGGAAGGCTACTCCATAACTTGATATCAATTTCACATTGGAGGAAGAAACTTAAACAGCTTGTCACCAGAAGGCATCCAAGAACACAGTGGAATGTAAAAAGGATAATTAAAATGAATTAAGGTCTACAAATGTGACATAAGAACTAAGTTTACAAGCTTTCCTCAAAGCACATAGCCAAATGAAATAAAAACTATCAAAAGCTGTACAGGCAGTATCTGGCATTCAGCAAACGAAAGTATACTGTTGTATTGGACAAATCATATGTCAATTTACTTCCTTGCTGTCAGTGATATGGAGCATGTCACAAAAGTACCTTTCAAGAGATTTATCTTGGTTGAAAGTACAGCTAGTAATGGTACATTAAATATCTGAAGGGTCAGGAAACATGGCAAAATAAACTCTGCTTACTATCAAGCTAAAATACTGACACTACTACACTGAGGAAACACAATCTTTGTACAGATTACATACAATAAGAATTCATAAATACAAAGCATCCAGCCATATGTTCAAATCTTCATGTCAGTTCCTCAGTAAGATAAAAGTACAAAAAGAAATACATGCTGTACCATTTAAACACATTCAGTTGCACTTGTATACCTTTAAATTACTCAAACATGCCCTAGAATAGTTGATAGACTGTAGAAAGCATAGAAAAGGGAGACAGACAACATTGACCTCTGTCTATGACTCAAAGTTTCCTGTAATATAACTTGTGTTGAATAGCAATAGTGCATAACCATACCCATCACAAAGAGAAACAAAGGTAATGGAAGAATGAACTGTAAAGCCTAGGTACTCATCTTTGTATTGTTACCATAGGCCATGAACACTCCTCTATGTATTTAGTAAGACTAAGGAGAGTGGAAAACATTTTTATTCTAAATAGTCCATACAAATATATAAAGAATAATTAATTTACCCTGTGGTAGTACTAAATATAGGGGACAATGTGGAAGATTAACATTTTAATTTACCAAAGTTCTGTAATCTGTACAAAATTTCTCTATTAGAAAACAAGGCTGAGTAAAAGATGCTCAGAAAGCCAAGCAGACAACTCAAATTCTAAACATCTCTTAGCTTTCCCAAGGTCATGCAGGTGGTTAAAATATTGCCCATTCTATTCTTCAGTGATCCAGGTGATTTATCCTTACAGCCAGTAGAGTTAATTGGCAAATCTACCCCTCAGTTCATTATGTCTATAGAACTATGTAATATATATTCAAGTCATTACATGAAATAAACCAAAATACTGGAAAGCTTCTTGTTCCAGTGAAAGCCAAGATATTTTATTTTTAACAAAGCAACATCAAACTTCAACTATTACAACAAAAGGCTATTTAAAAAGAGAACTTAATTATTTACTGTCTCCAACCCAAATGCTATCCAGTCAGCTTAAAAAGTACTATTAACTAGTCATAAAAGACATTAATTTCCTTTACAAATTGTACAGCCTTTTAGGAGAGAACATTTAAAATACTGTGAGTCAAAAAGTCCATCTGAAAAGTCTTTAAAAAATGCAACACAAGTTAATGAGAAAAGCCATTCCTGATTGAAGTGAGTTTCAGGTGTTATTATCAGACAGACATAATAGCTACCATTGATGAACGACAAAATGGACTAAAGGCAGGTGACACAAGGAAAGAGTAACATAGAGAGTTACTGTGAGATATTGTGCAAAACACCACATATGAGACTCAACAAAAGTTATAGTTTTCCATCATGAAAATTTATTTCCAATAGGCACTTCCCTCCTCTCACAAGATTAGCTTTTCTCGTTTTGTGCTGCCCTCTGTATGTGAACTTTTTCAGAAACACATGCCACAAGCCTTCATCACCCCTCTGTTGGAATCCAAAGTTCCAACATGTCTCTCATGCATCATCTCTCCACCAATAGGAGAGCAGTACTATCACATGACGCATGTGACACCCTCTACATGCCACTACCAAACTACCACTTTGAAGTTTGGTAGAAGACATGAGCACCAGAAGATTGTGGGGAGGACAGGTGAGAAGTGTGAGAGGAGGGAAGTACCTATTGGAAATACATTTTCATTTAGGAAAATTATAACTTCCAATAAGTTACTGTCCCTTCACTCACAAGATTAGCTTGAATCCCACACTGAAATGGAGGAGGGACCGGTGTGAGGGAAGCACAGGCATATCCACCAGAAGTGTCTGGAGGACACCTCTGAAATGAGAGGAACAGATCAGATGAGCCAGGTATCTCTTTGCTAGGAATATCAACATGATCAGGAGAACCAGACATGGTGGAACATAAAGACAGCACATCTGCATGGGAGAAGAAAGTTAAGCATGTGATCTTAAACAGAAATAAGAATCACTCAATCCCACGATGGAAAGTGGGCAAGTGAGGATGTGCATCTACTACATCTAAAACCTCACTTGCTGGGTGCCGACATCCTCGCGAGGGTATGATGAAAATCATACCATGTTCACCTCAAGTTTAAGAATAAAGAGGGAATCTAACATTCGATTCCAGGAAGTCACAGGGTAGCCTAATGCCAGTAATTCAGGAATGTGTCATCCGGAGTTCGAGGGAAGTCCATTGCATGCACTCAACCCCTGTGACCATGAAACCAGCCCAAAATGATCCCAGGTTGGTAACAACCTCGTCACCCAATGAGGGAAAACTCAGGACAGAAGACGAGTCAAGAGGGGAAGGTAGACAACCCGAAACCTGTGTGAGGACTTATGTGATTGGTTCGCTCGATCTCCAAAACTTCACTACCTGGGTATCAACATCCACGTGAGGGTAGGAGGAGGGCACCCAATCAGAGGGGTGAACTGCATTTGGGCATCTCAACTCTGGGAATTAGTTACTCATCCGGAAGATCTTTTAACTCCCTCTACACAGGCAGAACACCACTGCCCTACTCTCAACTGAATGGTTATAGCCATCTTTGTGGAACTCATCCAGCAGGTTACCTCTATGATCAACCACTCCAGCAGCTTGGAACTGGTAAGCGGTAAGGACTCCTGTACTAGAAGAAAGGAGGGAAAGTGTAGTGGAGAGACTGTAACAACTGAGACAGTGCAATGGGTGATTATAAAACCCTATTTTTAAAAGCAGACCACTTCAATTTATTCAATCTAGGCATAGCAGGGATGGCCAGCAATCCCATTCTGCTTTACCCATGCCATCCATGGGTGGTATGGTCCAAGACAGGCATATTATGATGCAATTATCATGAGGAATTTACACTCTAGTGATCTTGTGAAATGCCCCATCTCAAGGGTGAGCACACGTAGCCATGGAAAATGTATAAGAATCAACATGGCTTACAGTGCAGATTTGGTAGCAAGATGTCTGCGAATGGTTATAACCATCTAAGTGGAATCCATTCTGAGTACAGACAGAATATTTGGTAAGGCACCACTCACCACAAATAGCCACAGACAGCAGGCAATACCCTGAGGAAGCAGAAACAGCAATGTGGTGTAGGTGGTGGAAGATGAACATGTGTGGAGTAATCCACATATCCAATTGTAGAATCTCTTCCAATGAACAACAAAGAAGAGAGGCAAGGTAGAAGGTAATGTGATGGATTTGATGTAAGGAAACATGAAAGAGATCATGCTGGGAAGGAGACAAGGAGGAATAGGCAAACTGGATCAAATGTTGAACACAATCGCTCAGGGTAACCAGGGAAAGATCACTGGAAGAGCAAGGTTGCCAAGGTATAAAAAGGCAGTAACAAGAACCCCGGAAGGAAGCCATGCGTGCAATATAACAACGAAGGGCACAGACAGGACAGAGGAGTATATCCAGATCAGGATGAGGGTAGAGATGAGATATAGAGAATAGGCAGATAGGGGAAAACGAGGACTGACCTTCTCGAGCCACAGAGGTCTTAGGAAGGAAAGCAAGGTCCTGGTAAAGTTGAGGGTGAAAATATCCGACCTATGATGTCCACAGGTCAGGTGGAGGAGGAAATACACCTTCAAAAAGAGGTGAAACAGAAAAGACATAGACAGAGGTTTCAACAGAGGTAAAGTGAGGGCATGAAGGACCACGTTCACATCCCAGTCTGGGAGCGACTGATGCCTCAGTGGCCAATGGAGCTGGAAAGAACATATGAACATGGAAAAGACAGAGGTAGCAATGACCCTGTGTAAACAGATATATGGAAGTTATGGGATAATGCCACATGAGTCTCTGAAATCAAGGAGAGCAAAGAACCCCTCTAAAAGAGTCAGATGAGAAACTGAGATAGAGGCAACCATTGAGTGAGAAGCCAGGAAACCCCGAGTCAATGCTCAGGAGAGTTCAATGCTCCATTTGTGTTGATAGATGGCCAAAGAAGAAGTGTGAATGGAATATGCTAAATGTGAAGCTACTCTGTGAGAGAAACCAGAACTCCTTGCCATGGACCTGACAAAAGCCAGGCATGAAGATGGAGAATGGATGGTGGGGAATGGAGCACTGGTGACTGGGGTTAATGAAGCAGGTCAGGACGGAAGGGAAGAAGAAGAGGAGGGACCACCTGCAATTGGAGCAACTGAGGAAACCAAGGTTGAGTGGGCCAGTCAGGAGCAATCAGAAGGACCATGCATGGAAGTAAATGGATGGTAGGGTACACATAAAGGAACAGATGAGATCAATACTGGCTGAAGGCATCGACAGCCAAGGCTCGAGGATGGGGAACCAGGGACCAAAAACTGAGGTAATTTGTGATTGAGGGCAGTGGCAAAGCCATCGATATGGGGTGCCCCCAGATGCAGGCAGAGACACCAAAAAATGGCAGGATGCAGGAACCACTCCATGGGATAAACATGATCTGGTCGGGAGAGACAATTGGCTACAAGATTAAATGCACCTGGTACATGACGTGCCATCAAACAAATTCGATGTGTGTGGGTCCAATAACATAGATTCATAGTGCAAAAACATAGGGATATGGACTTATTGCCACCTTGGTGATTGATATATGCCACCATGGTTGAATTCTTGGAATGGATCATAACCAGCCAGTGGTTGGCAAGAGAAAGAAAATTATCCAAAGCCCGATGAACAGCCAGGAGTTCAAGAATATTGATGTGAAGCAAACTCTCCTCCACAGACCAACGACAAAAAAACCTCCTAGTGATCCATCCAGCCACCCCAACCCTAAAGGGATGCATCTGTGAACAGAGGTAAATATGGCCACAGAGGAGGAAGCAGGACCCCACTGACGTGTGGGCCCTGTTCAACCACACATGGAGATCATCTACAAGGGATGAGGGAAGGGATATAGAAGTATACAAGGGATCCTGGGCAAGGTTCCATTGATCATGAAGGACCCATTGAAGAAACCACATATGGGTCCTGCCCGGGGGGTATGAAAGGGGTCATAGAGAACCACATTGCCAAAAGCAATAGAACCTCACAACCTGTAAGTGAGGGAATAGACAGGGCTTCCTGAATGACCTGTGCTATAGAATGGAGTTGGAGAGGAGAAGGTTGGGCCTGACTGAGATGGGAGTTGAAGAAACACTCAAATAGATAAAGTATTAGGTAGGACAAAGGAAAGACTTCTCCAATTTGATCAACCAGCCCACCTGCACAGCTTCAGTGAGGAGCTGACAAGTGTGACAAGCCAATTCCTGTTTGGAATTAGCAAGAAGAAGCCAGTTGTTCATGTAAACATGGAAATGCAACCCCATGGCATGAATATGTCGAGCAAAAGAGCAGACCATATGAAAAAACATATATGGTGCTGAGGCTAGGCTGAAGGTAAGGTGCAAAACTGGTATATGACCTCCTGTTGGACAAACCAAAGATATGGATGAGAACACTCCACTAAAGGAATGTGTAGGTAAGTATTGGAAATGTCCACCTTGGTCATCCAAAGACCTGGAGAAAATGTCTCCATGGTAAAGCGAGGAGTGTAAACATACTGATTGAGATGGGATAAATCGATGATAGGATGCCAGTCCCTGGTCTTCTTGGGAACCACAAACAGGCAGGAGTAAAATTCTCATAAACCTGATGGAGCTGATTCGATAGCCTGTTGTGCAATGAGGTCCTGAACTGCCTCTAACAGATGCTGGTGTGTCAAGGAATTCCGAGGAGAAGGGAAGGGAACACTGGAGAAAGGAAAAATGGGGATAATGTATCCTTCCGAGAGCACCTTGTGAACCCACACACTGGCAAGAAAAGGTCTCCACAGATGAATGAAATTCAAGAGATGAGCCACCACTGGGCCCAAACCGACCATGTAGTCACTGGTACTGCTGTTGGCGGATTATGCATCATTGAGTAAATAGTAGAACCGTGGCACAACGTGAGTTTGATGAAGACAAACGAACTATCAAGTTAGTAAGGGTAGAATGTTAATGGACCGAGGCCACCTGTGACTCCAAAGACTCACGAACCAAGTCAAACACATAATGCTACAAAACGCCACCATGCAGAGGTCCTCAGATAAGGAGCTTGGAGATGGGTCTGCGCCAAAACCGCATTACGGCCCAAGAGGTTTGAAGCACAAGAGGTGAAAATGACAGACGAGCCAATATAGAAGTGAGGATGAAGAGGATTTCAGCAGAAAAACCCCTCACAGTTTCTGTGAAGAGCATCTGACAGAACATGAAGGGAAGATAGGTACCTTAACAGGGTCGTGAAGGTGAGACAAAGGCGAGAAAATTAGGCTTGGGTAAGTTGTACAGGGTAATCTGTATTCGCCCTCAAACATGTAGAACCGACCCCAACAACTGTAGGTCGAGAAAGGAAGAGTCTGTCTGATGATAAGCAAGGGTGGCTGATCCAAAATCTATGGGGGATGAGGTATACTATCGCCCCCAGTTGAGAGGCAAATCAGTCCACATGAACTCTGATATCGGGGGACGGTGAAAGACTAAATAGGGTCGGGAAGTTGTTTCATGTAAGAGGGAAAGTCTAGAACCATAGGAAACAGGTGTATGAGACAAATCATCACATACCTGAGAGATAAAGTTTAAAAAACCGATGACGGATGGGCTGAATCATCAGGTAGTGAACTGAAAGGGCCAGCAAACTCCGGGGGGGGCGACAAATGATGAAAATCGTCTTCAGCCTGGCCCAGCTTGAAAGGCTCAGGAGGAAGTGGGGCAGAAGTAGACAAGAGAGGTTGGCTCATAAACCACTCAAACTCCCGGCAAATGAGCAACGATATATCCCCCGATGGATCGTTCATGCCCGTAGCTGAAAATATGGCAACAGATGTTGGTGAGTATCCAAAGTGACTGTAACTTCGGAATTCATAAGTGGAAAAAAGCGTTAAACATGAGGAAGTAATGCTTTAATAAAATATTAACTCCACAACTGTGAAGTGTAATAAAGTTAAAAAAAATATAAAAAATTAAAAATAAACCATTTCAAGGTAATTGAACATTGTAAAAAAAATAACGTCCGCACTAAACAGCTGCCAAAGAAAAAGTGATAGTTTGGTAGTGGCACATAGAGGGAGTCACATGCATCACATGATAGTAGTGCTTTCCTATTGGTGGAGAGGTGAGGCATGGTGATTTGCATGAGAGCTGTGTTGGAACTTTGGATTCGAACAGAGGGATGATGAAGGCTTGTGGCATGCATTTCTGAAAAAGTTTGCATACAGAGGCAGCACAAAACAAGAAAAGATAATCTTGTGAGAGGAGGGAGACTACCTTATCGGAAACCAATATAAACTAAGAAAAGACAGTGAAGATAAAATGCCTCTTCTGCACTTTGAGTGGTTAGATAACTTGGTGGTTTAAAGAATAGCTATCATCTTCTAATATCCAATAACATTACCAAGGAATACTATGTAGTAAGAAAGGTAAAAATAAATTAGTGTTTCTTGTAGACAATAAATTCTTTCCTTCTATTAAATTATAAGGTGATTTTACATAGTAAAACAGTGCTGGCCACAATAATATTTCTTAAATGGTGTTTAAAACCTTAGTTTATAATAATCTTATATATGTAAATCATTTCAACTTAAATTAAAATCCAGTAATGAAAACTTTAATAAAAATGTACATAAAAATTCACTTTACCTGCCCACTGGGATGAAACCACCAATTTGTTGGCTGAGGACTGTTTTTCTTTTCAAAGTCTTCCTTTAACACAGAAGGGTTGATTTGAGAACCTCCAATAAAAACATCATCAAGTGCCCAGCTTGGGCCCAAAAAGTGATTAGAAGACCCTTCTGCTAAAGTAGATATATCAATAGCTTGCCACCAGCGTAAACGCGTACTAGTAGTTCTTGCTTCAGGTGGAAGAAGAAGGTAGTCATAACGAGGATGTGCGTAAAGGGCATAGTGTAACTCATGAAGTAGTGACCATTTGATACCTAGAAATATACATAATTGTGTGTTATAAAGTAAGTTCATTATGAAATGAACATGAACTGGAAGAGATTCCTTTCTCATTGTGTGTAATTCAGTGACAAGTAAGACAGCTGTACTTCAATAGCTGGAAATGTACTGGTGTAATAGTATATATATGTGTGGGTGTGTGTGTGTGTGCAGTCTTTTAACATATAACCCTTATCTTTATATGTAGATAAAATATGAATTTTCGAGTAAATATTTTTAAAACTAATTATGAACCACGAATGTATATGTTTCTGTGTGACATACAACAAGGATAATTATGATCTTAAAGTTATGAATGAGAATAACAGCAAATATATCTCCAGAATGAAATATATCAGGAGTAAAGTTATTTCTATGTATCAATACAAAGTTTTTGAATACTTAACATAATCATTCTTGCATATAGTTTCAAGTATTCATTAAGTAGTTGATTGTGCACCAGAGGTGGATGGTGACTCATAAAACTGACAAAACACAGAGACTTGGAGACTGGACGATCTCTTGGAGTCATGTTTTACAGAAAATATTTATCAAAAATGCTGTAACGATAATACCAGTACCAAATATTAATACTGATAATTATTGTAGTATTGTTAGTTTATTTTCAGCTGACAGTATTATTCAAATAAGTATAATTAAACAATTTCCAACTGTGTAATCCCTTAACGTATGAACACCAACTTTTACAGTTGCATCTCACTTTTTTAAGCCTTACTAAAAACCACTGCACACAGTAACTAAAGTGTTAAATGACAGCAAAGCACATATTTCTTTTGTTTTACTCTCAATACAGAATAGAAAAAATTAAGAAACATTTATCTAAAGATTTACAAATATTTATTTTACTAACCTTCTTCCTACCTCTTACAACATATTATAATTATTCTACAACTCACATGTCATTACTGAAAAAAATAAGCATGCATGAACAAGGGCATAGTTATTGTGTGGGCATGTTCACCCAGTACTAATACACTAGAGGCCAACCTCCCTCTAGACTGCTCAATTTTGTTGTATTGTAAGCACTAGTATATTTTACACTGTAGATAGGATTTACCCATGGAAGCAGAACAGGTCCAGGTGGCCTCCACTCCACCTGTACCATTAGGGATGGGGGTTTGAGACTATTAGCAAATAAACATACTTGAAAGACATTTTTCAAATCTCTCTAATACAAGAACTTTAAATTGTGATGTTAAATGTATAAGATAAAAAAAAATGTGATCACTGTTTGCTTTTTTTTTTTAATTCTTATGTAGGCTGGATCTCTACTGCCTCCCCTGCTGAGTTGCCACTTGTATGTACATGCATTAGTATGTTGTAATATCAAGTTTAGGTTACTTTACTAAGTTAGCTTAAGTTTTCCATGATTATGAGTATAATGGGGAACACAGAGATAACAAGTGTGATATATCAATATACCGTGTATTTCTAATTTATTGTAATGTTGTAATATTTATTCTGCATATGTGCAGGTTTTACATAACACATAGTCAAAAAAGCTGTTAAGTTCATTTCATTTCAGCTGCTTTTGTTCCTCAGGCAGAGCAGAAATGATCTCTAAAGAAAATATCTACTCTGCCAGATGGAAATACTGCACCTTGTGCAAGGATGTTGACAGCAGTGTCCCTTAGAGGTAGTTCAAGTGATATCTAGAGGTTACAGCCTTTACCTACACCGTAATAACACTAACCAGACACATGGGTAGTGCTAGTCACTCTGGTTGTGAATTAAGGAATGTTGCATTTAAACAGTCTAACACAGAATCTTGAAGAGTAAGCCACTGTTCTAAAGCAGGCACACACACACACACACTGTGTTTGTGTTTAGTGTTAAATAAAAATTGTGCATTTTTTGTATTTCGTTTTGTTTCCAGTCTAATTATTCCATTTTATATTTTACTTCACAATCAATACCTTGATCAAATCTCCTATTATCAAGCAAACTGATATGATACAGTTGAAAGTCAATTCAGTTTCACATGAATAGTGCACACTGTTTACATTAAGGGCTTTTCTCATTAGTCTCACACAAAGAGCTATAAAACAAGCATGTAAAAAAACATTAGTAAGTTATAACGTAACTTTATACTAATCACTCAATAGTAAACAATTTAATTGTAAAATAGGCATCCTTCATTCTTGAAAGTAGTGCGAGTTTTCACTTTAAGTCTGTAGTTGTTAAAATATTAATAAAAATAATAAAGAAATAATCAATTTATAATTATGCTTACAAGAAATGATGTCTAAAAGAGTTTTGCACATGGACTGCAATGTCGTTGTTTTTTTAAGGCATTTTGAAAATCTAAGGTGTCAAACATGTTAAGATTAACATTATACAAACTCATACTCATATAACCCAGGATAAACAATGGATAAACTGAACCAGCAATTAATGGAAATCTGAGCCTAAACTTTAATATTTTCATCATTTCCTACCTCCATCAACAGAATATTGTAAAAAAATGCTCTGATTTCGATGTGTTGCTGAAAAACACATGAAGCCTTCTCTTTCACCACCAATTAGAGCTGTATATTGTATAAACCTGAAAACATACCAAAAAATAATTTAAAAAAATGCTCAACCATCATAATACAAAAATTTCAAAACCAATATATTGGCACTATCTCTGTCCTGTTCATCATGTGTTTCACAGGACATAATGTTAAAGTGCCTGAGTATCATATGTGATAATGCACAGCTACATTTATTTGATAAGCAGCTGATGCTCGTGAACATGGCAATAGGAACTGGTTGTCTTGGTTCAATGTATGAGATTAAAAGAGAGCTTCATATAAACATCACATGTGGTGATAAAAGTGCATGTGAATGATGATAGGTTAAGTTACATTCACATAAGAGAAAATGTATACCTAGTATAAATACAACAATTTATTTTATTACTTCTTTATATTTTCATTCAATAATACTAAAAGAATATGATTCACTCATAACTATTTGGGTTAGTAGTCAAATAACCATATCCATAAAAACCATTAAACCGTTAAAATACGTTTTATTTTCATGGAATCTAACAGTTAAATTACAACTCACCTAGAGTCTTGCAGATTGAGGTCAACTGTCTCCAAAGTTTTCAATGTCCAGCCACTGAATACTACGGCAGTGCCCTCTACCAATGGTTTACAAGGTGTATCAACCTTTCCTCCATGTATGTACATCCAAAGGGCGGTATCAATTTTGTGATCTGTGAAGGTATCTTTTAGGTAAGACTAAAGGAAAATCAGAACATTCAGAATTAATAATGAAACTGTACATCAGTAATGAAAAGTAGTTGTATAAATTAAAATGTCTTTAAAACTATAATTTGCAATAAATGGTTAAAACTGAGATAGAAATAAGATTAAACACTTTTATCACTGTGATTGTTATTAGTGCCTATAATTAAATTTAATGAGAAATATTATACTTTTTATGTTAAAATACGTTTTTAATACTTTACTGTATACAGTGCCTTGCAAAAGTATTCACTCCGCCTGCAAAGTTTCCCCATTTTGTTGCTATCTGAGTTTGCAATCATGAAACTTTCAAATGAGACTTTATATTTACAATCTACTCGAAACTAAGAAAGCTAAAAAATGCTGATATTATGTAAGTAAGTTTGGTTTTCAAAGAAAATTAGAACCCCTTTGTTACAGCAACCCTAAACCGGTTCATGTGCAAAAGATTAGTTTGAAAGGTCACAAAATTGGTGTAATGGTCTCTATCTGTGTGTAATCAAAATGGTTTAACTTGACTTCAAAGTAAATGCATCTGTTCAAGCCATAACTCACATAGTCATATGAGAAACCAACCATGAAGACCAATGAACTTTCCAAACAAGTCAGGGATAAAGTGGTAGAGAAGCACAGGTCAGGTAAAGGTTACAAAAAATTTCAAAGTTGCTGATTATCCTTTTGAATATGGTTAAGTCCATCATTAAGAAATGGAATGTGCTTCATACCACCCAGATCAGGCTGCCCTTTTAAACCAAACAGCCAGGCAAGCAGGAAATTGGTTATGAATGCCACTGTGAAGCCAACAATGGCTGTGAAAGATTTGCAAAGTTCCATGTCTGAAATGGGAGTCGGTGTTCATACATTTACAATATACCAGTCCATACACAAAGCTGGCATGCATGGGGGGAGTGGCAAGAAAAAAGCCATTACTGAAAACGAATCATCTTCAATCTCATATGGAATTTGCAAAAAAACATGTAAATGATACTGCAAACATGTGACAGAAGGTTTCGTGGTCAGACGAGAAAAAATTGAGTTTTTTGGTCTAAATTCAAAGCATTATGTCTGGCAAAGGCCCAACACAGCACATTACCCAATCAATACCATCCCAACTGTCAAACATGGTGGTGGTAGCATCATATTATGGGGATGCTTCTCATCAGCAGGGACTAGGAAGCTTGTCAGGATTGAGGGAGAAATGGATGGTGCAAAATACAGCAAATCCTAGAAGAAAACCTGCTTGAGTCAGCCAAGGATCTAAAACTTGGTCAAAATTCACATTTCAGGACAAAGCACCAGGCCAAAGCCACACTAGAGTGGTTTCAAAAGAAGAAAATGAATGTCCTGCAATGGCCCAGTCAAAGTCCCGACTTGAATCCAATGGAAAATTTACGGCGAGACTTGAAGATTGCAGTTCATCAACGATCCCCAACGAACTTGTCAGAATGGGAGCAATTCTGCCAGGAAGAATGGGCAAAAATTACACCATCCCATTGTGTAAAGCTGATAGAGACCTATCCAAAAAAACTCACAGTAGTAATTGCTACCAAAGGTGCATCCACCAAGTACTGATTTAATACATTTCAATTTATATATTTTCTTTCCAGATTTTGATGATATTCAACCTCCTTCACTCATAACAGTGTTAAGTTTGATCATTACAATTATGAATAAAAACAAGTTCATTAAAAAAAACGTTTACATTATTTGTATTTCATCAAAATGTGACATTATTGGTAGGGGATGAATACTCTTGTAAGGCACTGTAAATAGTTAAAACAGATTTAATATTTCAACAATGAAAAGTCCAAAATGTTTCTTAAATTTAAATAGATTAACAAATGGACAATGAAAGATATAGTACCATTCACAACCAAGTAACTTTAACTTTTGATGGACAAATATATTAATCAAGTCAGATGGAAAAGTCAGAGAAACAACAGGTGCAAACCTATCAAAAACACATTTACTTTTCAATGGAATCCACTAGTGACTAGATGCCATGATAATTATTCCAAAAGCAGAAGGACCCAAAGCTAGAGTGGGTGCTCCTTGCCAAACAACAAGGTGAAATGCAACCTGAGCAGATTTAGGAATGAAGTACAGATTTAAGTAGCCCATGGCACTTGTACAAGATGCAGGAAGGTATGCTGTACCATTGTTATCAACCACTGAGCCATAGTTTTCAACGTATGTGGCAGCTAGTGGTCCATAGAGCTGTGAGCCAGGAAATTCTTATGACTTTGAATAAACCAAAGAATGGAGTCCACCAATATGTTACATGCACTTTTGCTAATGTGCTATGGCAGTTTTACTGGCCACATTCAGGTCGAGACATTAAGTGGTGGTGTTAACACTATATGGTGTCTGCTCCCCTGAGGAAAACCTGGTTTAGACAGGGTAAACTCCAGCAAAGAGTTGTTTGTTCTCCTTTACAAAGAATAGCCATGGATATCACTGGTCCTCTCCATGAGACTGAACAAGATAATTGGTATGTGCTATTGATTACTTTAAGTGGGCTGAGGCTTATCCATTGGTCGATACTTCAGCAAAGCCCATTGCTGTTATGTTGGTTGAACACTGGATAACCAAATTAGGCATATCTGAAGAAATTGTCATGGATCAGGAAGCTAATTTCAATAGCCATCTATATGTGAGTTGTCTAAACTGTTGTTGTGGTGAAGATGCACACTTTGCCTTATCATCCTCAGTCTGACAGTTTGGAATAGCGGGTAACAGAAACTATGAAAAGGATTGTTGTAAAGTTTGTTAACTGATGGAACTAACTGGGATGAATGCTTGCCATATGTCATGATGAACTATCATACAAAAGAACAGAGATTGGCTGGTTGTTCACCAAAAATGTTCATGTTTAGGTGGGAGATACTGCTCCCTGTGGATGTGATGTATGGTCCACATCCTACAGTAGATGTGGCAAGTGTCCACAACCATATGTAGAGTGGCTAAGGATTGCATTGGTCAATGTGCACAAGTTTGCATGCCAACAGCTTGGGAAGACTACATATAGCAGAAGAGATGTTAAAACAAAACAGTCAAAACAGTATGGAGACTGGGTAAAGTTTTGGAAAATGCCAGCAGCCTTGAAACAGCTCAGTTGTGCATGGGCAGGTCCTTATTTTGAACTTCAACAGACCATTCTGTTGTCAAAGTGATACAGTAGTTACATGGCACATGTAACCACATGGAGTACATCAACAAGTTATGACCATATGTTACTAAAAAAACTTGTGCACTGGCTTGGCCATGTATCAGAAGTCAAGGCTCACAAGTCATAGGATGTTGACCATACTGTTTCATATCATCTTGACTCAGCTAACAAGGAGGAACATGCTGAAAATATTTTCTGACTATGCAAGATGATTCAGGTGAAGAAGAGGCCCTGAACAGCTCCAGTTATTGGCTAAGGTGTCAATGACAACCTCCTGATCATTACAGCTGGGAATAACACATACACTAGTAGTTAGGACAGTCAGTGATTGTGAGGTCAATGACTGAAAGGAAATGGCATTCCTTGCTTTCCAAGCTTTCAGGTGGTATTTCACTTTGAAATGTATGCATTACATTGTGCGAAGTTAGGAGAATTTATTGACCGTAACATTAATGAGACCAAAAGGTGTTGTGACCCTTACTTTCCAAGCTTTTGAGCAGAACTTCATAGAGAGGTATCCATAGGAAAATTGATGATAGCTGCTCAATTATCAAAACATTAGGATGGTTTAGTTGGCCAAAAGATTAATGAGGTTGAAAATACATTCCAGCCCTTACTTTCTGAACTTATACTAAAACTTTTTCTGTGCTAAGAAATATATGGACTGGACATAAAGGTGATGTTCAATGAAAACAACCTTTATTACTATAATAATCATACTGTGTGTGTTTTCAATGGGTGTTAGGCTGTTGTCTTTACTGGATTTGTGAATTTGATCAGGCTGGCTTTACTCTCTCAAGACATATTTCCAAACTGACCAATTCACTGAAGGTGAGACCTTGTATTTGTCTGTCTAAATCTTACATTACTTACTTGAATTGGTAACATTATTTACCAAGACCAACTAGCTCTACCCACATATCTGCCCATTCAAACATAGGGAGATGCCATAACCTCAAGATACCACCTGATATATCATTGAAGGACACTGTTGTCTATGTTTTTTCACAATGTGCAGCATTGTAGCCATGCATTCATGGGCCAAACAGGTGGTATGAACTCAACAGAATGACAAAATAATGAAGGCACCTAAAAAGAAATCAACTTAATGCCTTTTTTTATCACAAGCTATGTGAAAACTAAACATACTTAGAATAAATGAATAAGTTTGAACAATTCTACATTAAAATAAAATGGAAATAAAGGAACAGTATTGAACATACAACACCTGTGCAACTTTAACCTAACTTTTAATAAAACTTTTGACCAATTAGAATTCAACTGACCTTAACTTCCAATCCTGAATTTATCTATTTAGGATTAACAGAATTAGAAAAAAAAGAGACCTTTATTCTCCAGATAATAATAAAAAACTTTTTGTTTCAACCATCGTTTCATGACTGTGGTTTCATCATGACTATAGTACAAGAACTGTACTACTAGTCCTGATGAAGACATAATGGTGAAATGTAGGCTGAAATAAAAACATTTCCATTATTGTCTGGAAAATAAAAGTTTTTTTGCTTTATAATTTTGTTGTCAAAATGTCTAAATTCCTCCAGTATGCACTACAAGTCTTGAAAAAGAACAAAATATTTAAGGTCAAGGTCTTAACCAATCTGGTTATTTTGTTCATAAAAAGCCATTCTGCAGTTTTCATTTTTGTTACTATACCTGAAAGCCACTACTTACTAAGGAGATATATTGAACATTAGCTGTTTAGAGACTTTCCAGATGTCTCCAATAACTCTACTGTCCCTAAGACTACCAAAGCTAATTTGATGTTCAAATAAATGTTCAATTAAATTGGAATATTACCAGTGAGAGAAATTCTAAGATAATAATAATGAAATTGATAGTAAACACTGACCAAGTTTCCATGAGGTTTTCCACAAAATTTGCCACTGTAACCTTTGTCACATTTACAATGCTGAACTTTGTCACATGATCCATGACCATGGCAGTTATGGGGGCAGGCAGGTCCTATGTATACATTACTAACAGCCCAAAGCTGTGATATTGATGTTTCGCCTATGGCTTTTTGCCTCCAACGAAACCTAGTCCACCTAAATATAAAACAACAAAACAATTTTCAATCCTAATTTTCTCACACAATTCATATATACTTACCCAAACAAAAATTCCTAATTCTAAATCATCATAATAAGATCACACAAATCAAATTTAGTTAACTGGTCAACTAAATAACTCTTGATAATTCCTCACTAGTTTAATCATTCAATATTTGAATAGAATGATGATGCTATGCCTCAGCTGGATATTAATGTTTCACAGCAATGTAGTTTATTAAAGTCCTGAACAACTATGTGAATGACACACTCATGCACTAAATACCCTTTAACTCTATCACTATGGGCTAAGTCGATTTGACCAACTTCATGACCTCAAATTGACCTTTATAGTTTCCATACTATAATTTCTGATATGTTTTGTGTATCTTTACAAAATTTTGTAAAATTTCAGTGATCATTAAGTCATTTGTAGACCAAAAAAAAGAATTTTTTATACAGTATTTTCACTAAACCATGGATACATGGAATCACATTGTTGACTGCTCCAGGTGCAAAGTGATTTTCATGATAAGATTAAAAATACTTTTCTTCATCTGAAAAATATCAAATTTCATTTGCATAATCTCTAAATAAATTCAAGTTTTGTTTTCAGTAAAACTTTATATTTTATCTCTTATTTTCTTTACCCTAACACCATATTAGGTTGGTAAATTTGACTGACCTCATAATCACCAGAAAAAAAAATTTGAAAAAAATCTAAATTATCCTTTTTTTTCTTTTTAGAATGACTTCAAATTATAGTGTGAAACTACATTTGTTTATCCTAAATAGCTTTGAACTTGTAACAGTATGCATCTGTTTATATTTAAATTTTATTGCCCTTTGAACCATGACTAACTGTTATTCCAATCATAAAATTTGTAAATCACTTGGCAAACGTGCAGTTCATGTTACCCTATCAAATTACATAGGACACAAGCTATTCATGAGCATACCTTGTGAAACATTATTATTATTATTCTTTATTTTACCCATTCTAACCTTAAAAAGTTTCTAATTTTTATAGTTACTTTTATAATAATAAATAAAGAACACACATGAAAAACAAGAAATAAAGTACTTACCTGGGTCTTCTTATTTTTTTGCTGTCGACTGTCAATGACATTTAATCCAACTTTTTTATACTAATGGTACTACTGCACTAAATATTTTTTTATTAATTAAACAATGCACTAAAGAACACAGAGTAATCACATGCAAAAAGCAACATCCCATAACTATTCCAAATTTTCTGGCTTTCTAACTATGTGACAAGAGCCGTTAAAATTCAGGTAAGCTCATTGATGTGTTTCCTGTGTGAATAAAGTTTGAAGTGGAAGCAAAATAAAAAATTCTTTGTACTGAGAACAACGTAATATAATACATCCTTTGATATATTAAAACCTTGGCTTTCTATTGGTTATAAATAATATACTATTAGACATCAGAAAGAACTATTGGCAATTTCTGAAAGAGAGGATGTGACAGGTGAGGGTGGCAAGAGGAGTCTTATTTTCTATCTTATGGCTTTGTAATTAAATAACAGGCTATAAAAAATTATGCTTTGCCTAAGTGATGACAACATTATATAATGAGTACTTTACATTAAATGTTGTACTTCATGGAGGAGTGGTAACTAAATTAGAGAAGAGGGGATGCCTGGAGAGAAAATGTCACAATTCTGATACTAGAGGAAATTCAGGAATTTTTTAAATATTGCCATATAAAATGTAAAACTTATATATTATTGAAATTTGTATTATCAGCTATGTTTTTATGCTAAATTTATTCGTATACCATGATAAGAAAGTAGTTTAATTAGATTTTGATTGCAACTCACTTAAACTTCGTGACATGCACAGAAAAAGATGCCCATAGCAAAAGTGTTTACAAATTAATAGCAGTTTTAACTTACAATGTCTGGATGACTCATCATTGAGTCAGATGTAACTGATTAGAAATCATTTGGTGTGTCTTAAACCTTCTTATGAGGTAGATAGGAAGATTAAGTGAGCTGAGTAATTGCAGTTCCTCACAAACATGAATATAATTCTAGGTTTTTTCTTTAAAAGCTCAAAGGATTCTATAGTTTACATTCTGTGGGTAATATTATATAAAATATTAAGTTGTGCAGTCCCTCCATGTAGCTATTTTATTCTTTCACCATCAAACTCTTTCTTGAGAGGAACTTCCCACGAGCCAAGAAAAAAAAGGAACCATAGAAATTTCTAGATAAAATTCCACTGTGAGAAAATAAAAATAATCATAAGATGATGAAAAATACTTTTTAATGTCAACTGGAAATCCAATATACATGTTGGTGTTCTTGTAGTGTTTAATTGTGAAAAACAATAATGAATATAATTTTTTGAACTGTGTAACAAGAATATATTTTCAACACATAATGTATCAATCAAAGTTCTAAACATGTAAATGAAGAGTACACATCAACTTATTGTTGGACATCAAAGTTTTAAAACATAAATAAATTAAAGTATTAAGCATCAGAATCACTGCTAATAATAAATATGTCGTGAACAAAACTAGCTAACAACTAGTGTTCTGAAAATCCATTTAACTGACTACCTTGAGAATACAATGGTGTCCAGAGGAATAACAACTCGTTTCCATGGTTCAGGTGCATAGAAAACTGTTGCTTGACGTGCTTCTCCTAAGCAACCAGGGGTTGAAGGTAAACACTGTTCTACAAGGTGGGCCCAGTTTTGGCCATGGTCTATTGAAAACTCCAGATGTAAAGGAGCCACCAAGTCATTCCAGGAAGCATTACAACCAATAGCAAACTACAGTATACAAATGGATATGGTGTAGTAAAGGATTAGTTTCTTTCTTATCTTAAAAATTGCTATTTTTTAGAGGTTAATATATTTTTAAGTTAATATATATACATACACACACACATAACCAAATGACATATAAGGTTCATCTGTGGTTACAAATAACAAAACACTGGAATATCAAACTATTATATCTTTTCTTTCCTTTATCAATTTGTTTAACCAGTTTTTTGACTTCAAAGGTCACTCTTCAGAACATAATTTTACAGAGAATCTATAACAAAAAATTTCATGTACCATTTTTCAACTAAACGTAAATAAACTAAGTTATGTACATATATTTTCCAAATGTACAAACACATAATACACTCTTTGCATAAATTACATATATATTAAAAAATGCTAAAAAATAAATAAAATAATTCAAAGTTTATCCAATATATTTTTGAGTGGCTCAGCAATAAGTCAGGGGGTTTATAACACTAAAAAATGGGTTTTGATATCAGATATTTTGATATGGTACACAGGATAAATATCACCTTGTGTAGTTTTGTGTTTTGTAAAGCATATCTTTTTTTTAATTTTTCTTAACTTGAATTAAAATATTTATTAACACAAATTTATGTTGCATTTGGGATTTTGTCTCATACATGTGAGATCTGGATTTATTAGAGGTGTGAACAATTACTTATGGTGCTATTTTTAAAAGGGCATCAACCAGATGTTGTATTCTAAATGTCTGAATAACTTGTTTTGTTAAACTAATGTGGTATTCAGAAACATTATATCTCACTCTCTTATGTATGTACAAACATAGTTAACAAAAGGTACATTTTTCTAGAGTTCTAGTGTAGAACTTGCTAACTTTGGGCTAGTCATGTACTAATTCAGTCCCAGGCCTCTGTAGCATGTAGGATGTTATTTGTTGTTTCATGGGATATTTGTAATGTACTAAATGATACCTAATATGTAAGGTTACTTTAATTACTGCCATGTACAGTAGAAATACTTCTGGAATCTAATGATCAAATTTTGTGATTGCTTAGATTGATTAATCTTCTGTCTCAAACCATCATTCTGTTTTTATTAATAAAGTATTTGTTTTGCCTATCTTCATATTGAGTGTTGTCTCTCATTCAACTACACTTCTGGGCTGGACAATGAAAGACACTAATTATATATGCAGTATTATACTTTGAAAATTATGGTTTTCAAAGCTAATGTTTGGACAGAATTAGAAACAAACTGTGATAAAAACTGCGCGTAAGCTTCAGATGTCTTTTTTCCATATTCCTCTTAATTTGTCTGTTTTGGATTAAAAACCAGAGGCATGAAAAATTTTATTTCATATCTATATATTTTGTCTTCCACAACTCATTCTCCAAGAAGCCTTTCATCCAATACCACAACTCATTTGGTGGGCAGAATGATAAGAGACAAAAGTTTATCTTAAATGCTATATATATGTTTTTGGTTCATGGAGAATTTGCAAACATTCAATAGTGCAATTACAGCACAGGTAGATTTGCTGGAGAAATATGACACAGACTTTTTGAGGAAAAATATTCATACAGTGAGATTTTTAAATTACTTATAGCCAAACAGCATAACAGTTCAAAGAAGGTAGCCTTTAAAGTTCTCCAGAGGATAAAAAAAAAACTTATTCATAAGAGAGTTTACAACAGCAGGTTTTTTCTGGACCAAACTGCAAACCAAGTTGGAGCAAGAACATCATCTGCAAAGTAAGGCTATGGTTATGAAAGAGAAATCCCAAACTCAAAAAGCCATTGCAGTGAAGTTGGTCATAATTCTTGGTACTACTAACAAGAGATTAAACATAGATCAGAAGTTTATAAATGCTCACAAGCCAAATGTTCACTAGATTCCAGCTACACCTTCAAATTACTGGCTGAAGAAACTGGAATCACAGCAATCCTATTCTACCATGTGTACATGTCAAGTCCCCTGATCAAGTTCAAATGGACTATTGTACCTATGATCAGTTTATAGTCTTGGAAATCAACACTAATACACAGTGGTGAGTTGGTGGAAAGTTTATATGTGATTTCTCATGATGACTTTTCCATCCTTCACAGAAACTTGTTGTAATGGAAATTATAGTATTGACCAAAAATGCATAATCATGGACAGAAGACAACATGGGACCTAGAACATTGTTCTTATAAAATGTGATTAACCTCAATAAGCCTGTGAAATACGATTTCAGTGTGCAAATTAATAAATTTGTTGACTTGGCTCCTTCATAAAAAGCATCAATTTGTGGAATGAATAACTGAAAATCTACATTCTGTAATCTTTTTGGAATCATACAAATTTGTAGTTTGTGAAAAGAGGTGCATATTTCATTTTATTACTCATTTAAAGTGTTAGAATATCTAGGGTTGGCCCTGTGCAAGAACCTCTATAGTTACAACAAACTACAGCTGTGACTACAAACACCTGAATTCTAGAGCTTTTAAAATGAGTATAATATAACTAGATATGAAGCTATCTTATGACGTACAAGTCACATCATTGTTTAATAAGAGGTGGTTTTGCAGTTCAGCTTAGTGATTTTAAAGTCTTTGTAACAGTACAAAGTTACTTTTATTGGTTAGTTGTTACACCAAGTCACAATGTTAAAACTAACCAAACTGAAATTATGATACATGGTTCAAAACATAATAAAAAAATATGAAAACAATGTGCTGGTACTTACTTTAAATTCCATAATATGACCTGGCTCAATGTGAAGATCAATAGTCTCCAATACAGCACTTTCTGTAATTGTGGCTTCACCTACAATAACTTGCTGGTTACTCCCACAATAGTGACCAGGAGTGAGATTATTATAAGTCAGCCAGTGGTGCTCAGATAAAAAAGCCCCATCCCCCAAATCAGTAAAGACAGAAGGTGCATTCACTTCACCTCCAATATAAACACTGTCAATAGCCCAATCATTGTGGGCTCGTCCCTGATGAGTGGGTTGCCACCAGCGAATACGAACACTATTCTTCTGCATCTCAGCAGGAACAGAAATAGCTACATAACTAAGAAATGAATACTTTATGTAAATTGATAATGATAAACCAGAGGGGAAAATAATAAGAAAATTATAAAACTAAATACTGAATACAATATAAAATGCAAAAAGTGCTCAGTTACAAGAGAACATCATATCATTAACATTTTTTTAACAATTTAATCCTTTTGCTCTAGAATGGAAATATTACAGATTATATATTTTTTTGTTTTTACAAAAATGTTATCAGAGAAAAAAAAATCACTCATAAGATAAATATTAAACAGTGGCTACAATATTCATTTACATGAAGGGAGAAAGATTGTCATTATTAGCTAATGACAAGCTCTTTATTTGAAATAATAACACAAAACAATAGGTGCATGGTGGATTAAGAGGAAGGCCAAGTCCTCCAAGATGTATGTTAGATATACACAAATGTTCCCTTTATGTTTAGCACAAGAGTATTATATAGATTATATAGTGTGAGCATTAAAATAAAATATTTTTAGAAGTAATAATACATCACAAGTTTGCTTACATAACTGTTTATAAATCATTTGTTGTGTAGTTCAACTGTTGTAAATTGATGTCATGTAACTCGAACCTTCTGAATTTTTCTTGTCGCTTTAAGTGAATATTGTTACACCATAACGTCTTATAGTTTATAGAAACTTCTAGGCCTCAGTTGGGCAATATATATATATATATATAGGTAAGCAAGCTAATGCAAGTACGTAAGTTAATGAAAGTGAAAGTAAAAGTGAAATTAGACTGCATTATTGTGAGTTTAGCCATAAAGAGCATATAGTGGTGATTTTAAGGTGGGTATCACAGCCTTGTATTGTAATAACAGAGTAGAAGAGAATAATTTATCTTGTCAAAGGGTGTTCTAAAGTGATTAAACCCACCTGTGCGGACTTTCACGAAAAGGAGACAATTATTTGAAGCTCTGGATACAACTGTGATAACCAATAGTGTAACAAATTTTTGTACATATGTTTGACTTGTTTTCAATATATTATTTTAAAACAAGTGGGTTGTGTGCTGTCCGTTTATTGTTGAAATTTATTGATTCTTTACTTCCCTATAAAACCTGACAATATTCATTTAGGCTAGTACTTAAGATAAATTTTATTTTTAGCCAATAATAATAATAGTATTCTAATGCAAGTTAAGTCATAGTCTTGTAGAATTCACACAAGTTCTTTATCAGTTATACATGTAAGACTTTTGTTTATTTTGTTCCCAACATTTCACCAGGTTTACTTTGCACCATCAGGTGAGATACAAGAAACCTGGTGAAACACTGTGAACAAAATAAACAAACGTTCACTTTAGAAATCTCCACTATATGCTATTTATGGCTAAACTCACAATAATGCAGTCTAATTTACTTTTACTTTCACTTTCATTAACTTACTTGCATTAGCTTGCTTACATGGTCATTGGGATGATGGCAAAGTTCTGCTTCCAAATGATACCATTATCAATACAGTAAATGATGGCAATTTCTGTCACTTACCCCATTTTATGATAGTGGTGTCCTAAGAAAGCATTTATAAGTCTCTTATGCAAATGCCAATTATATTAGCAAAATAATTCAGAATAAACTGCTGAAGGTCATGAGTAATATGGTCCAAGAGCAGGTTGTCAACAGAGTCAAAGAAGCTAAAGTATGAAGTTAACTTGCAGACAAATCCACACATAAAGAGACTAGAGACCAATTTGTTTGAGTTGCACGACCTGAAGATAAGTATATTCTACGAGGAGATTCATTTTCTATAGTCAATGCTTTTGAGGAAGCAGAAACATTGTGACAGATGAAAACTCAGAAACAAAAAATACAGCTTGATGGTAAAACTTGGTGATGTTTTATTATCAGAAATTAGCAAAGCTGCCTTACATATAGATATGTGTGTAGGCCAGGACTATGATAAAGCATTCTCTCTCTGGCTAACATAATATCAGTAGGAACAACTTAGGTGAAAAAGGTTGATAAGTTTGGAGATTACTTTCATTGTGTCTACCATGCAACAATCTTGTCATGTTCAAAATCTATCAGTATTCCAATGATCAAAATGTACAAGTCATCAGTCACTTTAATGCAAGTGTCAAAAAATAAGACTGTTTAATTATCATAAAGATAAAACAAGTGTTAAAGGTTGAAATGTTATTTCTTTGTACACTACTTGCTCTGTTGAAAATTAGTACAGTGTCATATCTTTGGAGTTTATTGCCATGGTGTTTGTTCTCTTGCAGAAATATGAAAGTGGAGTAATAAAGATGTTAGCAGTAAGGCACATAACCTTATTGCTTTCTTGGGTGTGAATAAAGATGTGGAGAACTACTACAAATTGTGGGATCATTTTATACACGCAGTTGCAAAATATTCTGTTTTTCTTACCAGGTTCAGGACAAGAAGTTGAAATGGAATTGTTAATTTGGAAACAACACTGGAATAGCTCTACTGATGAGAAACCTGAAACTGCCATTGCTGCTCTAAATGCTTGTGAGGAAACTGTATTTCTTAACATATTGATGCTGTTAACTATACTCACAACACTATCAGTATCAATATTCAAGCCTGAGCAAATATATTCAGTCCTGAACTGGATCTTAAATACAGCAAGAAGTACCACAGCAGAACAAAGATTAGAATCACATATTTTCTCGTAGTCTCACCACAATAATAATATTATCAACAATTTTCCTGCTATTCACCATAGAAGAATGAAACTCATTTTGTAATTGTAGTTTTAATATAGTCTTAATCTTTAATAAAATATATTCTACTTCAAATTCCTTGTTTCTTACATTTTTTACTAAAATCAATGAATTTTAAAGCATTAGTAAATGCACTCCTAAGTCAACATTTTAGTTTGATTAGGTATTTATGTCTTAAGCATCCTCAGGTGCATGGCCCACAATTTAAACCTGGATCCACCCATTGAATCAATAACAACTTGCTTTAAAGCAAAAGCTCCTTTGGGGTTTTAAAATTAATTAATTTGGATAGCATAAAATTATTTGTATTGCATTCAAAATTATTTTTTAACTTAAATACAATTTTTAGAGACTTTATTATTACTGTGTGCTACATTTACTGGAAAATTTGTAAACTAATTTATTACTCAAATTTATAGTAATGAGCAAAGGCCTATATATATACATATATACACACACATGTATGTATATTAACTACTTCATACAAAAACAATTAAAACTATGCAGAGACTTAAGAACTTTATTGATTTCCATATATCATATTGTTTAATAACTTTATATATTCATTGAAGTATATAACTTGACTATAACATTTAACAGAACCAATGAATATGCAACATCAACATACATAAGGTAATTTACTTTTATAATAATAAATAAAGAACACACATGAAAAACAAGAAATAAAGTACTTACCTGGGTCTTCTTATTTTTTTGCTGTCGACTGTCAATGACATTTAATCCAACTTTTTTATACTAATGGTACTACTGCGCTAAATAATTTTTTATTTAATTAAATAATGCACTAAAGAACACAGAGAAATCACATGCAAAAAGCAACATCCCATAACTATTCCAAATTTTCTGGCTTTCTAACTATGCGACAAGAGCCGTTAAAATTCAGGTAAGCTCATTGATGTGTTTCCTGTGTAAATAAAGTTTGAAGTGGAAGCAAAATAAAAAATTCTTTGTACTGAGAACAACGTAATATAATACATCCTTTGATATATTAAAACCTTGGCTTTCTATTGGTTATAAATAATATACTATTAGACATCAGAAAGAACTATTGGCAATTTTGTTTCCATTTTAAAAAATGGTGACATTTGTCCCTTCCTAAGACAACTTGGATTGTGTTATTGTCCCAAAAGCATTTCTATGAATTGCTTCTTAAAATACTGTTCAATATAAAATCCAAAATGTCATACTAACATAAACTTCCTTGAACATATAGTAGAGAATGAGTTGGAGAAAACAGATAAAAATAAATAATAAAACCAAAGGTTTTCTTGGCTTATAACCTTAAATGTTGATAAGATAGATAATAAAAAACTCAATATTTGCTAATACAAGATTAATATAGGGGGGGGGGGGGGATGAAAAAATTTAGATTTTGGTAATAAAGGTTTTACCTGTAGCAGATTTGTGTTTACTTCTGCATGATTGTAGGTGCACAATTGCAGATATAAAAATTAAAAGATAATTACAATTTTGCAATAAAAAAATCAAAATAATAATAAATGAAACTAGAAATATAATATTTTAAATAGGAAGTACCTTATAGACCTTACCTTGGTGTCATGTGATACTCATAAAAGATCTCCTTCAGCATAACCCATGTAACTCCACCATTTGTGGAATACTGGAGAAAAACACTCTGATCTCGAGTCTTTGGTGAAGTAATACAGCCATAACGGAAATAAAACTGAACAACTACAGCTTTGCGAAGGTCAAGATCTTTAGTGATTAACTGCCTTGTGCAGTGCTATAATAAAAAACACTAATAATTATTGATCTTTCTTTAGGTTTGTTCACAGAAATTAAATGTCAAAAAAAGTCTTAATAATGAATATTATTTTCATGTCAATGACAAAAAAATTTGCTGTGTATAACATTAACTATTTCTTATATTATTATATGGAGATATAATACATTACTGAATTTTGAGTAAAATTAATTAAAAAACATTTTTACTAACATATATATATATGACTATATGCAATAAAAGAATTTTTTTCCAGATTGTAGGCAAAACAAACAAATATTCAAGAGCTGATTTTGATCTGAAACTCTCATGATGTTTTTAATAATACTGATAGGCAATTTCTAGGTTCTTTTGTAACACTGTTCTGAAATTATCCAACATTTTTATTGTATTACATCTTTAAAATGTGCTATGGAACTTCAAGCAGTTTGCTTTTATACGGTGAACTACACATATGCATAAATCTTTACACTATGTTCTTACTTACATACATAACTCTAACAGAGGGTTTAGTTCACTGAATGGTTTCAGCATAATTAAAATTATATATTTTATTTTGTGAAAAACATTACTGAATCCCTTTGGATTAATTTTTATCTTTTTTACTCAAAAACTAAATTGTACAAAACAAACAAAAACTCATCATGTAAATTGTAAATAGATGTAGTTCAACAAACAAAAAAGGTTTCTTGTCTCATCTACTGGGCATTAAGCATTTAACCATTTTTGGCATTATAGACTCTAGTTCCCATCTCAAACAGTCAACTCACTTTAAAAGGGCACTTCAAAGTTGTTTTATCAGATAATTTCTGTAAACATCCACAGTTTTAGAAATTTTGAAACTTTTCAATCACACAGATTTGCAAACTTTTAAAATAAATAATCTTAATTTGTCAGCTCTATTTTGTTAAACATACACAATATAATAAATGTTTCATAGTTTTAACCTAAAATCAGTGAATGAAATCAAAAGCTCATTAAGTATTTTTGTCACTGTTTTCTTCATTGTAGTATAAAAAAAGGATTTTGTAAATTAAAAAAGGATATGTTTTATTAATAGATTACTTGTGTTGAAAGTGAAATTAGCACAGAAAATACAAGACTTGATAATACACAGCTGGGTTAGGAAAAGCAATGAGCTACAGGTCCAGTCTGACTACAGCTACTATTTCCATAAAAGTATAAGAGTTTCTAACATTTAAATCTGATATAATGTGGGCTAAGACAAAAAAATAACCTTTTATGAGGTGGTAAAGTATTTAATCTTGCCTAGCACAGTATTCTCGAAAACTTCAAGCCATAATAGTGAGCTACATCTTCAAAATATTACATGTTAAATTTATTGCTGAAATATAACTATGGTTGACGATAAACAAACAGAGGTCTATCATAAGTTGTATACTTTTACTAGATATTACAATGTAATGTAAAAAGGAAATATGAAGGAAAAAATTCATTAACTTTGAGCATCAAATGTTAATAGAATATTTAATATCGTTAGGACTCACAAGCAAAAATTATGCAAAATTATTAACAATAAAATACAATATCATAGCAAGCCATCACTTGGGCTTGGTTTAAAAACACTATTAGTTTGTTTATCAAAAATCAAAATTTATTTCAACATTAAGCAAGCTGGTTCAATATATTCAACACTTACTCCATAAAAATGCAATGCCATACCAGATCCCACAGGACCACACAAGTCTGATACTACACCTCCATTGACTCTGAACCAATTGGATGATGGATTAAGAGTAAAAGTGTCACGTAGTTCAGTAGGAAGAGGGGACTTTGGAACATTGCAGATATTACCTGACCAACCATCATCACACCTAGTGCATAAAAGAAGGGGAAAATATCTTGGTAAATAAGTAATCTATTAAAAATATCAAGTGAATTATTTATCATCTTTTAATAAGAAAATGTCTAAACACCAATTTAAAGAATGAAGAAAATTTAAGATATATCCAGATTTAAAACCCTTCAGAGCCGTTTAGAGAAAATAGGTAAAGTTAAAAAGTTTCATATCATTATTCAAATCTAGATATATTTAACATAAACATGACAAAAGTAATAAAGATTTTTTTTTAAATCATGTAATTATCTATTTAAAAGAATATCATACTTTATTGAGAATAATTTCCCTGGTAGAAGTAGAAGTAGCAAATTATTTTCTACAGAGAACTGCACAAAACTTAAGTACAAGGCACATTTTGTACAAGTTTTCATTGAGAAGTAAGATTAAGCAAGTCTACAAAATCAAGTTGCAGTAACAAATAACATTATTAAAGAAATACTACACAGAAGTATACAGCCTTGCATTTTTAAATTTATAAAATATGGTAAACTTACTTGCAAGCTCCAAATGTACATTTTCCATGTCCTGAACACATGTCACCACATTCATCTCCTATGTAAACCTGGCCGACTGCCCATGATTCAGAACTCTTAAATGGTGTGTGTTGAATCCAGCGAAATCGTGTGTTGTGTGATCTGAAATATCAGATTATTTTATTAATGAAATTACATTTTAAAAGTAAAAATATTTATATCACAACAATCAGTTATAACAAGAAGTATACATAATCATGGAGTTCAGGATTTTAAATATTAATCTCCTGCAGGATATTTAAACTTAGACCACTGCATGAAATCTAATGAAAATAATTTTTAATAGCCTAGTGATTTTATAAAAAAATGGAACATCATGTGCATATCCATTGTTGTGGAACAGAAAAGTCAAAAGACAGATGTTCCTTGACAATTTTAAGAATAACCATGACTGTGATAAAAAATATATTTCTAACTATATACATATGGCATATGAAAAAGCAAAGAGCTTTAAAGTGTAAGAAACATCAATATTTTGTACATATGTAACTTATATGTGGCTGACAAAAACTAATATTTGACCATTTACCTCTAGATTAAAGCAACTTTTTTTGTAAGATAAAAGTTTTCTTTTTTTGAATAAATTAACATGTAAGAGAATACTACTGTAACAGTGTTAATTTTTTGCTATATGATAACACAGTCTTTCTCACAACAGTCACCCAAAATACTAGTTTCTAATACAAAGAGGAAAGTTAAAACAGAAAAAAATAATAAAGAGCATTAATAACTTAAAACCTCAACAGTTTAGGAAAATCATTACAGAAAACAATTTTTAAGTTAGGAAGTCTGTTTGAAAAATTTTTAAATATATCTGTTTAGAGTTTTTACTTTTAACTTGCAAAACTTAAAAAACATAAGCATGTTATACCATTGCACTGTTATACCTTGTATAGTATGGAAGAGGAATTGTTATTCTTTCTAAGGCATAATAAAAGTCAGCAGTAAAAACACTTCCTTCATAGTAGTCAGGACAGTTCCCACTAGATGGTAGGCAGGGCTTCAGCACAAGTGCCCAATTTTTTCCCATGTCTGTGCTATATTCTAAGGCTACCTCTGAAATCAATGATTTACAGTTGAACTGAATTAACAAAATATATTTCTCAATATAAGTTTAAACTAATATAAGATATACTTGATTTAGATGGCATGTTTTTATTATTATTTTGAAGTGTTTGCAAAAAAGTGTATTACTTAGAGAGAAAATTGCAAAAAAAAAATAATTTCATGTAATTTTGGAGATTTACTGAACAACAGGCATGAATATTTTGAAAATACATGTGAAAAAAAATTAGAAATATCTAAATACATCAAATGCTCATTTATTTACCAAAAGCACAAAATTCTTAAACATATCAATGAATAACACTTCAAAAATGTATTTAATAAAAAAAAAGATACAGCAATTAAAATAAAAGTGGAAGAATGAATTTGTCAGATATAAAAGACTGTTTAGTGTAGGTACTATTAAGTACTTTATCTCGAGAGTTAATATTTCATGACTGTTTAGTTTTTTTTAATAACTTTAGAGTTAAAAGCAGACAACTGTTGGAAGTTGTGTTTATAAGTTATTGATGTCGATGCTATGGAGATTTCTAGAATGCCTCAGTGAGAGATATAAAAAGAGTGACGACCAGACAAGAGACTAGAGAGCAGGAAGAGAACCAAAAAGTAAAGTCAAGTGAAAAAGAGTTTCAGTCATAAAAAGGTTAGAAAATGTAAAGTTAACCGTCATAGGAGTGAATAGTCTAAAATTTGATATGTTAAAGTGAGATTAACAGTTTTCTGACATTTAAGGAGAATAATTTGTCTCATTAAAGGGTGTTCTAAAGCAGATGAACATGGCTGTGTGGACTTTGACAAAAAACAAACGATTATTCGGAAGTAGGCCTATATGCCAAAATCATATGTTTATTGGAAGTAGGCCTAAATATGAGAGAGCAAACGAGTATAGGAAGTTCAGGATACAACTGCAGTAACTCAATGACAGAATAAGTAAATTATACACTGATACTGTTGTGATAAAAGAAGAAAAAAAAAGAGAGAGAAGAAAATGAATGAGTGAATTATACACTGATAGTGTTTAAGATAAAAATATAGACAGATAGTTCAGCTTGTCAACTGATTTCTAAAGCAATTGAATTGGCCTAAGTGGACTTTTGACAAGAAGAAGAGAACTGTATAGTATTTAAGATACAACTATGATATACATAGTGTAAAGAATTTTTTATACATACGTTTAACTTGTTTTGAATATATTATTTTAAAACAAGCGGAGTGAGTGCTGTTCATTTATCATCAATTTATCCCCAATAAGTCACAGACACCTACTGTAGAAGAATCCTTACCCCAACACACACCCATATATTTACTTAATATATACTACTACTTAAAAAGTAAGTTTCCTGACAGAATTCAAGTGCTGAGTTACAAAATGCATTAAATGGACACTCAAACTTTGGTTCATCTGAAATTGGCCTTATTGAAGGATGGTCTAATACACTGACATCACATTAAACATAATGTCAGTTTAAATTTAGTGTAAAACCTATTTAATATTTTCTGTCATGTGCCACTGAATGGTTTAAATATCTAGTTATAGAAACAATGTTCTAGACAGCAAATTGTAATCCTTATCATAATATTGTTATTTATGGTAATGGCATCCCTCATACTGCACAATAAAACATGTATGCTTGAAACATACCTTAACAAATCAATTGAATTACAACATTTTTGATCTCATAGTTAAATTTTACAACATATACCTATAGTTAAAATTACACAGGTTACTGCAATTTCTTTGTAGGCTACAAACTATGTATAAAGTAAACTACTTAAAATGAAAAGCTTTGCTATGTGGCATATAATCATGCAGTCTCATTAGTAAGAGTAATAAAGCATTGATAACATAAATACACTGGAAAACAATTTGGAAGTGCAAGCACTTTGGTTTTCCAGCATTATCTTCAAAATCAAACTTTCTTTAAACTTCTTAAAAGACTCTTCAGAGTATTAAACATAGTTAACTATAAACATTCTATTTATATTGTATCTTCTGTGATACATAACAAATTAAATATTTATTTTAATTACACAAAACTCCATAATTTACCTTACTACTCTAACAGTATTCTATTAGAACAGTTGAATAAAAAAAGTGTCCTCTGAGTTTTCTAATGCAAAAATTTAAATTATAATGTATTCTATCAGTAGGATAGTAATACATTTATTATACTTTAACAATTTTCAGTAATTTTAGATAGAATACACTGTTATATGAACAACAATGACAATACTCTCCATAATCTTTGTGTAATGCAGAAGAGAACAACTACTCACAAAAATGCAGAGTTAACAGGTACTCTCTCTTCAATGGAAAAAAAACAAGTAATATCAATTATAAAACAATAAATCAAATGAACTGTTAATTTTGAAAAGCAGATTTTTTATTTTATTTTTTATACATTAAACTGGAAATACTGACTAGTAAAAACTTGAGTACAGAAAAAGATAAAATTTATTTTCATAAAAGACGAACAATAGATAAAAAAAACACACCATCTAACATGGAAATTAATCCCTACCATAACAAGATGCCGTCTCTTTGCAACCCATTGCCAGTTCAAACTGTATATAGCTGGATTCTGTGACCAGAAGATCTGTTGTAATTGCATACCTCTTGTCATCAGGACCTAAATTTTAAAACTGGTTAAAGATCTAAACCTTATGGGAAAAATATATAAACACGCTTAAATATTAAAACTGTTTCCTATATGTTAGTTATATCAAAAAAAATAAATGAATACTTAAAATTTTGGAACAAATTAAACTTTTTCAATATCAAATTGTGAAACAATATACAGACATACATTAATGATACTGTAACTAAAATAATGTTAAGAAAAAAAAGAACATGCTAGAAATTAAACTAGTGTAAAAATTACAGTAATGTCAGTATTAAGATTTTCCCACATACTTGTATACTCTAAGCTGTTTCTTAAACTTAATAGGCTATCAGTAATAGTACATTCATTCACAGAATAGAGGCTACTGCTGTCTTTCAATACAAATTTTATGGGAATATACGTTATGAGCGTGTGAAAGACACTTTTTAATAAAAAATTTATAGTTGAAAAAGGTTGTTTGATTCTAGAAGGGATTCTATATGAAAAATAAATAATAATAATAATTCAATCCTCATCCTTTTCAAAGTTTCTTCATAAGCTGATCAAATTTATTTTACAATAAACAATAAATAAAGGTTAATTCTAAAAAAAAGACTAGTAGCTAATTTTCTTTTGTATTTTGTCATTTAGCAGCACACTGTCAAAAAACTTAGTTTTCTAGTTGCTTTGTTTGACACTTATTTAAAGTGTAACCTTTGTGGAAAGACCATGTACAGATAAAAAACACTTTTTAAAGATAATACTAATTCTTTCTTTATTTTCCTTAAAATTTCTTTAAATCAGTTTTTTATTAATACTTATTTTGGTTTATCATAGATAAATGTTTCACATTCAAAATATTTTTCTTTAGTTTTTAAGAAAAGAAAAAATGTCACCATTAAAATGAAGAGCATTGTCTAGACGTCCACAAACAGGTTCTAGTTTGGCCCCAGGAGTTAATATCCAGTTGGCCTCATGAGTTGCAGTGAAGTCATCATTTAGTGCTGGAAGGCCATTTACATCACCCCCAATATAGATCTCAAAATAATGGAATGAAACATTTAGTACTTTATTGACCTTATCACATATCTTAAACTAGTAGAAGGTCTACAATAAACGCAATCAAACTTTTACACAACAAAATAGATTAAGAATTAAGCTATTACATTCCAAAAACATTAATAAACAATACTTTTCCTTAGAAAATATCTGTGATTTTTTTTTACTGAATTTTTTTTTACTAAAATTTATTCTGCCATTAAAATTCAAAACATTTCAAATTGGAGTTCACCATGTTGATTAAGCCCAAACAAAACTAACAGTTTTTTCAAATTTAATCAAGTGCATAAAACAATCTGTAAATAGTTTTAACTTCTAAGAATATAATGCAGAAGCAAAAAATGTTTTGTCTTATTTTTACCAAAGTTGTTCTTGAGGTTTTACCTTTGGCAGTTTATACTTACATTGCTACTTAACCCTAATTCTATTGATCTTATTTCCTCATGCAGAAAATTTTTAATTGAAACACTAGGATAAAAAATACCACAACTAGTTTAACAAAAGAATCAGCTTATTATCATCAGCCATTACAAGATTTGTAATCATTGTTTAAACCAGTCAGTTTACAATAAACTGATGGCTGATTGCAAAGTATAACAAGTTGTGATATTGTAGCAGTGAAATGAAGGATATACATTTGATTTTTATATTGTCTAGTAAATAACTGAGGCCAGAAACCATTCTATTCATAATCCACTAAAGATTGTTGTCATGTTGAAAAAGAAAAAAACACATGGTTCCTTCAACAAGTAATGAAAAATGTTAATATTCTCTCAAAAAGAACTTATGTTGATATTACTTATAATGAAAATAGCTTTCCATAATTCAAGCATCATTAACAGATAGCTTCTAATAGTGTAACCTTGTCAAGAGGAAATACAGAATTTGTCAAAATATGTAGGCTATTTACTTCACCCAAAAATTTATGAACGCTAGCTGTTTATCAATCACAAAGTCAAAGGGTAGAAAATGTAGGTAATAAATGTTTCAAAAATATTTTTCCATTCTTAAAATTTAACAAAGGAAATCAGCAAATTAAAAGATAAAAGTAGTGATTATCAACATTAATAATAACATATATATATATATATATATATATATATATATATATATCTACTTCTTGTTGCCTGTCTTACTAAAATTATTCCTCTGTAATATCCATGTATATTAGATAGAATGAGCTGGGTTTTGTTAAAAAGAAACTATTCTGTAAATTAGCATGGATAAAAAAAAAATTTAATTTACATCAAATTAACTTTTATTTTCTGTTACATAATTATAACATTCCTTTATTAATTGGTAATATGTAATAAGTAAAATTCTAGTACATTTCTTTAAAGCATGCTGTTCAATGACTGACAGCTGTGAAGACTATAAAGTATTTTTTTAAAATTCACCACAACAATAAAGCAGCCTAGATCAGCTGGGCCTTCTTTAAATCTATACTTGAATAAGTATTTATATTTATAATAGCAACTCACTTGATCAATAGCCCAATCTTCAAGAAATATTCCATTAACTGAAGGTTGCCACCAACGTAATCGTGTTGTGTTGGTACGAGCATGTGGTGGCAATTCAAGAGCTACATAATGTTCCTTGCTTCCAAAACTGAATTCCTCAAGCAACCACCAATTCACACCTCCATCTACAGAAAACTGTAAGAGTATTGGCTGAGCAGTAGGTGAAGGAGGTACAGATTCACAGCCCAGCTTTATGTAGAACTGAACAGAGCTACAGATCAGAAAATATGTTATATATCTAATTATTATATTGGTAAATTTAAATATACTTAAATTACATCTAGAAAAAGTTTATTCTCTACAGTAGTAAAAAATTTAAAACAAGCACTCATCTTTAATACAAAAAAACAAGAACCTGCTTGGCTTAAAACTTATATAATTGCACAGAACATAAATGATAGCTCTCCTCAATACGAGAGAAACACAACCTCCTTGCAGTAACTCCCCCTAAGCACTTGTGCTTAAAATAACTTTATTCTTAGACAAAGCAAGAAGAGCATCTATCAGAAATGCATTTTCAGCTAAGAAAAATGTGAACTTCCAAGATGACACCTCACCTCTTCCCATAGAATAACTAGCATCCCACAGTGAAATGGTCAAGGGGTTGGTGCAAACAGTAAACCAAAATGAGATCCTTCAGAAGGCATCTGAAAGGAAAGCCAGTGGAGTGTAACACCTGATGGCAGGGGCACCATAGGTATACACCTGTGGGAGACTGCATCTTGTCTCAACCAGGGTATACTTTTCACCCAGAAGGAAAGAGAGGGAAAGTCAAAAGAGCCCCAAGTGTCACAGGGATGGGCAGAATTTTGTGCATGAATAACCGAGCACCTGCACATAAGTAGTTGGCAAGCCAAGAAATGTTGTGTGGTTAGAGTATGATCAGATCATATGGTGTGTGCCTGACCTCAACTCAACTCAACAGACAGGCACAGGGGTGACAAACCCATCCAGCTGTAGGAGATGAGCATACTAGCTGTTTGAGGGGTGATCCACACTACACAGACAATGCTACCACCATCCTACTTCCCACCGTGTTATGCTATACACAATCAGTGAGAAACTCTTCAAGGTGCACCACTCTAGTGGTTAGGAACTGGTAAATGGCTAAGATCTCTCATGCTTCACTTGAAGAAGGGGAGGAAGAATTTGTGTTGGGGAGATGCAAAAAAGTGTCCACATCTCCACCAAACAACTGTCAGAAAGGAGACAGTGCAATGAGTGACTGTAAAACCCTATTTTTAAAAGTCTGCAACCATGAGCTAAAAAAGTGGGCTGTCATTTCCTTGTTGTCAGCTTTCTACATGATAATCCTTGGAATGGTACTGTCTGGATCGGGCACTTGAGTAATTCTAATACCACAAGGATACATTCAGCGATTTTGTGGAAAACCTCACCTCGACAATGGGCAAATGGCATGAGCACTTTCCATTACCCCTGACCCAGTGCATACCCTGAGAGTCAACACCAATCACCTAACAGAATGCTATAAGAGGGAAAAGTGTGATGTAAAGGAAAATGTACTTACCCTTCTCAAAACAGTGTGTAGTTTTAATGAAGAGCAGCAACTGGTATGAGTCAAAATCCCGCAGGAGATAAAACAGCCAAATGATGAATATAATAGGAGTTGAACATGTGTGGATTCATTCACATGCCAATCTGAAGGATTTCGTCCAAGGGTTAGTGGAAATGAGATGCAAGAGTGAGACAGTTCATAAATATGATTCGATGAAATGTGAAAGAACAAACACCCACCTGAGCAGCCAAAGTTTTAGGAATAAAGGTCAGGTCTAGGTAGAGGAGAAAGTAAGTATTGATAAAAGAGAATGTGGGAAACATCGATGGCATATATATCTGAACAACAGTGACCACAGGCGACAAGAAGGAAATATGTCTTCAGAGAAAGATGGTATAATGAACATGAAGCCAACAACACAAACGGAGCACTTGTGAGAGAGTGTAAAACCACATCAAGGTCTCATTCAGCATGGGAGTAAAACAAAGGGGTTGGTGAAGAAGGAAGGATTGGAACAAAGTGGACAGGACAGGAGAAGAGAGAGAAAAAAAAACAGATGGGAATAGGAAAGGAAAAATGTGAAAACCTACAATCCATGGTAGATAAACCATGAGAAAAAGGATGATAGGTGGATCACAGGATGGTCCACAGGAAGGGAGTGGATGATGGACCAACATTGAAAAATTTGCTACGTCTATTGATATACAAACAGAGCTGAAAGATGATTGAAATGAGATAAGAAAAAGGCCACACAGTCAGAAAGTCCAGCCCTGTGGGCAACAGACCAAAAAATTCCAACATGTGAAGATGATGGAATGAAGTTGGAGCAAGAGAGAATAGGAATGGGCAAAGGTAGAATGGACCTGAATTCTAATTGATGAAGCAGAGAAAATCAGGGTTGTGCCAGCCAAAGAGATGCCACAAACATGACTCGACCAGGAGTATTGCATATCAAAGTGAGAACACTAGGGAGAAGATGAAGAGAACAGGCATAAAGGAAAAGGTGAGACCTATCCTAGCTGAGAACATCAACCACCGGGACCAAAGAATGAGGAATTGGGGACCAAAAGATGGGAAGTTTGGTGTTGAGAGGAATGGCAAAGACATCAATGAGAGGCATGCCCAACTGAGAGTGAACCCAATGAAAAGCCTAAGGGTGTAAAGACAATTTCATGGGTAGAACCCTGTGCAGCTGAGTGAAGTGATCTGCAAAACAAAGAAAACATCTAGAGGACAGGGTGATCAGAATGTGTAAAAGAGTGTCTGAAATGTCAAGCTTGGTCATCCACAGTCTTGGTGGAAAGAATCATCATAGAGAAAAGAAACCTTCCATATGGAACCAAGGAACGATAAGAAACCAGTGGAGAGATAACAGGTTGATAACCAAATTCTAGTCCTCACTCTTCTTGGAGCCAGAAAAAGATTAGAATAATAATCAGGTATTGGATTAAACATCCTCTCAATGATATTCTTGGCCAAGGGATCTGAGACCACATCCTCAAGATGCAGAAGATAAAAGAGGACAAAGAGAAAAGGAAAGGAAGTGAAGAGATAGGCTGTGGGTGACAACCAAAAAAACCCAACTGTCATACAAAAATGGAGATCAAAGGCTAGTGATGAGAGACAGTTGATCCCCAAACAGAGCTAGACCCAACAGGGTAGTCACCAACAAGACAAGCAACAATCCTTACATAGGGTAGTGGTAGAACAGGAAGAGAATGGCAAGGTAGAGAAAGATAAGAAATAATAGTAGACAATGAGAATTGATGCCAGGCTGCCTCAGTCTGGGTCTCCCAAGAGTCGGGAACACCCTAAACAACTTTGGGCAAAGAAATTGAGCCCAATGAAGATGATGGAGATAAGTATAAAGGAGGTGTAAATTAGCTAGGAGCATCCTCTTGCAACAAGTCTCAACAGCAGAGGAACCAAGTACAAAGAGATAGAGCAGAAAAAGATTTATGAGCAAATGTGATAAAAAGAAGAGAACAGAATTCTCCAGACAACCCATCTTCAGCACAGTGAAGTGCCACAGACATAAGGTGATGCGATGAGAGGGAACTCATGAAGATTGAAAGAAAAGAGACAAAAAAGGCACTAAAATAGAATTAGAAGTTAAGGAGTACACCCCATCCCCCAATTAGATAAAAGAGATTCCAAAGACTGGAAATGAAAAATGGCAGTAAGACAGGACAAAAGAATCAAATAGATGAGAAGGGCAAGATACGTTAATATGGGTGTGCAATTGTTCAAGAAATGATTCTGCATGGACCCTAATTTCAGGTGAAGGAGGGAAGGCAAAGTAGTCTTGAGTATGGGTTTCATGTAGTAAAGCACTGGAGAAACCTAATGACAAAGAGGAAAGAGAAAGAAAAGAGCATACTTTCAAAATCATGTCAATGAAAATATTAGAAGGATGAGGATTGTCCTCCACAGATAAAGCTGTGCCTAGAGGGAAATAGCCAGTCAAAATATCATCCTGATCATGTTCAAATTGTGGAAGTGGAATGTCAGCCAAATGGACTGGAAATGGAGACCAAGAGTGCATGAAGGAACCTAAAACACATTGAACAATAGCTGTCATGTTTTCCACAGATAATGAACCCCTAGTAGCTAAAATAGATGTAGGTCCCACATTAAGAACATTGTCACTATCACAGGATGAAGCAGAAGTTGCCATCACTTGAAAATCGATAATGGTGGGTAAACAGGAAAAATAAAAGAAACCAGTTAAACTTCAAGGAAACATTAAGTTTCATAAACTGCAGCAAATCTCACATAAATGGTTAATAAGTATAAAAACACATCTGTCTGAGACAATGCTGAGGAAAAGAATGAAGTTATTTTGAGAGCAAGCACTTAGGGAGAGTTACTAGGCAAGAATGTTGTGTTGCCCTCCTATTTGTCTTTTGTTTTATAACAAAAACATACACAGTCACTTTTTGGAATCTACATCTTCATTTTTATCTTTATCATGTTTTCCAAGAGAAAACCATCTCATAAGAGCTAGTTGATAAGCATTAACATACAACCAGCCTTTGCAACTACAAAATGATTACTTTTTACTACCCTTAACCCTAGAACTGCCAATTGGGTCTGAAGTCATCAGCTTTTAAACAGGGTTCTTAATGACTTAAGACATACAAGAAATATAAACAAAAATACTATCTACATTGAAGTTAATCTCACTAATTACTGGTGAGGTCAACTATGTATTTTATAAAAAAATGAGTGATTTTTACCCAATTTTTTTGTGGGGGAAGTTCTTTGCACTAATTGTTTTAACAGGAAAAACATAAAACTACTTGCTGTAATGGAACATGTAGACACCACTAGTAATATAAGGTATAAAAACAAGTTGGTAATTTGGGGGTTAATACAGTTAGACCTGGGAGCAATTTTTAATCTAGAAGGTTTTCTACATAAGAGGTAGGTGCAATTTCACCTAAGCTCTTATCACAGAATTCATTTTTTTCATAGTATTTCAAAATGGTTCTATACCTAACAACAGACAAGTCCAGATCCTGTGTTACCAACATCCTCTCTCCTTGTTGTGAGAAGTAGAGGCTTGAACCTGTGACAAGGACACCACATCCAGAAGACACTTCTGCACCACTCCACCTCTCCCACAGTTTTGGATCTACTGAATCACCTGTAGAAATTAAACATACAATGTAAAAATATTGTGACCGAGTCTGCAGCATAGTGTTCATAAACATTTCTAAACACAAGTATTTTCACAAAATAACTGTTTTTTTCACCTGAATCATAAAATATTCCTGTCTACAAATGCTAGATTAGCTTATCAATACCTTTACTAAGAAAAATAATCAACATATTGTCATTCAAGCATAAATGTTAAGTTTTTGGTCCTTTAGTTCACCTGTTAGAATACAATTACTATATTTGAATTTTAGTAGTCACCTGTATAAATCTTAATTATATTCAGTTTGGGGCATACTGAATCATTTAGAATTATCTTAACTATTTAAAGTTATTGGTGCAGGCATTTGATTTGCATTAATCAATATTCAAAGTTCTGAATTAACTAAATCAACTTTAATGAATTAAATTTTAGCAAATTATATGCCTAAAATATATATGTTTGAATGAAACCCATTTAATAAACAGTTTCACTGAAAAATACTTGATAGTTTTAAAAAACAACATATCAAAAAAAAATATAGTAAAATTTTTATAGAATCCTCCTAAACAATGGTAAGTAACCAATGAAAATCAACTTCTCAATTAATAATGTTCAAAATGCAGTAAATGATTCTGTCTACTTTTCAGCATCTTATCATAACATTTTTCTAATGTCTTTTGTCATATAATTGTAATATTTCTAGCCTCAACCCTAACTAATATACTATGAAATCAGTGAAAGACTAATGGGTAATGCTGAGAACTAATTCCATGCTATCAAATACAAAATATGTAAAAATTTATGTTGAAAGTAAAGATAAATCACACAAATGCTCTCTTGTTATTATCAAGTTTATAAAAAGCATACCTGAAAAATTATTTAAATTTAGAAGCATATCATTTGCAACTTGTAAAAAAAAAAAGATTTTTTACAACAAAATATATCAATACCTGCAAATACTTCTTTCAGAAAGCTGGGGTTTGGTTTGGAAGCATAGCAGAAATCTCCATCATAGTTGTCATCACAGATACACATAATGCCATTAATACAGGAGCCATGGCCAAGGCAGTGAAGTGGGCAGGCTGGTCCAATGTAAACATTATCAACAGACCAGTATGGAGGAGCTTCTCTAAGAGAGTAAAATCCTTGGTACCAACGGAAACGTACTATGCTAAGAAAATGGAATATATTTATCATTATAAAAGTTGTAAATTCAATTACAACAAGACAACTACCTTGGACATGCTGTATCATCAATATTCCTATCTGGTTAATATCATTATCTTATCAGATGATAAAGGGGCAGCATGAACATATCAAAACCTTAAATTCCTATCTTTTGTCATCTACTTAACCCCCACCATAATAATCCTCTGTAAGTCCTTGATGTTTTCTCTCGAGTAAATTTTCTTGTTTCAAGAAGTTGGCTTCCTTGAAACCATATAATCTCTCACTGATATCTGTTAATTCTCAGTTTTAAAAGTGAAAGTAGAATCCAAAGTCTTTTTCTCACCTATAGAGTGAAGATAAATTATCTGAGAAAGAACTTGCTAGATAACCACTAACCTAAAAAATGCAGGTTCTTCTGTCAACTAATAAGTAACAATACTACTGTCCCACTGTTTGTGATTGAATTTGGCATGAAGAATTATGAAACTAAGCAAAAATTACAAACTTTTTGCATCATAAAGACATAAGAGCTTCTTCATCAAAACATGGTTCATCAGTATTATAATAAGAAACATTTAAAAAAAGGTTAAACTCTCATTACAATAATACCAGATGAACATATTTAAAGTTATTGAATAAATGTGTAGGCAAAATAATAACTATTCATACAGAAAATGAGCTTAGATTGTAAAGATTATAACCTATCTCAAATGATCACAATTATAAATCAGCAGATAATCTTTAGACTATCTGAAAACTATGTTCACATGCAGTATCTTCATGAGCATTATAGTACACTGGGTAATCATTATATTATGCCTGATGAAAGTTATTTAGACAAAATATTAATCATTTATTCTTTTTCACTTACAGCAAGTTTATCCATTTCTCTGTATTTTTATATATTTATAATGCTGTAACTATATTTATTTTTTATGCTTTATATGTAATCAACATTATCTATTCTTTGGGAAGACATTAAAATATTTCCAATCATTACATATACTTCTTCAAAAAAATTAGAAGAAAACCATGAAAAATGCAACAGATTTACTTACCCACATATCTGTAGACCTTTAAGGGGGATAATGACTCGTTGCCAACCAGTATGAGTGTTACTGTAATATATAGTTGGAGTCTCCACTTGGTGAAGACAGTCAGGACCGTGACTGTAAGGAACACAAGGACTTTTTACCAGTTCCCAAGTCCGGCCACGAGTCACAGAATATTCAAGTCGAACAGGATAGTCTGCTAACGAAATAGTGCCACAACCAACTTTTATCTGTACAATTAAAAAAAGAAATTTGAATTTATAATTTTATAGCTTTAAGTTTTAGTTTATATAATTTTTAAACATTCATTTTTCAAGACATGAATAAGCTACAAATGCACAAACAATTATTACTGAAAATAAGATGTTGGACAAAATGAGGTATTTGCATCTAGTCAGTCACTACATCATGACAAAACATGATTAGTCATCCATAGATATTCATGTGAAAGAATATTACTTTACACATTAATATCTGTTAACATTATTTGATTCTAATAATGTCAATATTTAATACATAAAGCCATGCTCTACAATTTTCCAAGGAAAACTACTAAAAATAAAAATAGGCATATGGCAAGCTATGCACAAGTTTTTAAATACTTCCTCCATGATGCATGACTAAAAATATGGCAAAAAGTTATACAGTAAATAAATACATGTATTTAACAAACTGTACAATACACTTACCCCCATGAAGCAGTAGACAATGTCCATGATCAATAACACCCAAGGCTAAATTTAGCATCTTACTTTTACCAGATTTTGTGTGTTCAAATTAGAACTTTAGAAAAATTATGATAAATTGTGAATGTGAAATATACACTATAGAATATTGAGCTATGTGGTATATCTGCAGATAATCTTTAATACAAAACTTAAAAGTGAAATGCAATTTCATGTTGGTATGTGCATAAATTATTGGTTAAGAAATGAGAAAAAAGTAATTTTACACATTCAAATACACTTAGTTCATTACGATTTGATGTATTCTTGCATCAATAATGTCATACCGTTAGAAACATTTTTCTTAGACCATGACATTACCAAACAGCTTTTATGTAACACAGTATTTAAAAATTTTTATTTTATAACTGTAAATATGTATTCCGTAATTTCTATTATAACAAGATAATCAAAAATTGTTAATTTAAAAAGGGGAATATGGATCATAAAAAAATACAGAAATAAGTTGAATCAGAATGCAAAGATTATATTTTCAAGCCTACAACTAGGTACTTTAAAAAAGTAAACAAACTAGGCTGGAAATATTGTCTGCATTATTTTCTCAAGTTACAAATCCATATTTTGACTTCACTAAAATTGATAAGTTGGGTTTTGTAGCTAGAGAAAATAATGCAGATGCTATTTCCAGCCTAGTTTGTTCACTTTTTTTTAAAGTACCTAGTTGTAGGCTTAAAAATATAATCTTTGCATTTTGATGCAACTTGTTTCTGTACTTTTTTGATATTCCTATTCCCCTTTTTGAATTAACAATTTTAAATTATTTTGTTTCTTAAGTTTTTTATGTCCATGTATGGTGAATAAATTTTAAGCTACATATGTGCATATGCATTCAGTGCAATGTTACATGTTTTTCAATAGTTTACTGTTGCATTGGCTTTTATCCACCCAACCATTATTTACTGAGCCAGGTGGTTTCTGTGCCTGAGGTTTCATGTAATCAAATGTTTAACAAGTGTCGAGTACAAAGGAAGCCACTCACAACAACATCACATTTATTATGTATTTATAGCCACATAAATCAACTATCAATGAAAAATAATCAACTCTTTAAAAAGGTAATGGACATTCACAGTGTTCCATATAGTATATATGTCTAGGTTTTGGTGTAAAATAACAAGTCAATTTTGCTGTTGGTGTTGTGAAGTAAAAATATGAAGAGTAATTCTAAAAATTATTCTAAAATATGCACTCACAATTTCAGCAAAGTATGAAAATCAGTAGAATAAATCACTACTCACAAGAGTAGAAAAATATACTATGGTAATTGTCTACTGTTAGAAAACTCACTGAATTGCATTCATTACTATTTTCCAGGTTTTAGTAAAATATTCGTGGCTATATTTTCTGTAGTGGCTTGTAAACTATAATCAATAATAATAAGGCTGGAAGCACTGTCATAAATATAAACATTGTTTACTCTAATAAAATGAAGCATTTCCAACTAGTATAAAATGAATCATTACAGACTAGCATAACAGTGTTAAATGGCTTCTACATTTCTGCAATGCTTGAATGGCTTCGAAGAACTTATGTTGGTAGCAAAGAAGAACATAGAACATTTTAGAGGGTGGATATCTCGAGTTTCAAGAATGAACTTAAAAATAACTCTAAAACCTTTACAGGAGTTTGTTTAATAGCTGTGGTTAAATTTTGGCACAATATACCTAGCTGTTTTTGCTGTAGGCTTCAGTGCTTAAATGACTTTGAGGAGAAACTTGGCCAGTAGCAATGAAAAAATGGATAAAATCTCTCCTTCTCTTTCAAGAATCAACATAAAAATAGTCCTATGGCCTGCACAGTTTTCTTAGTAGGTGTGCCCAGATTTGAATAAAATATTCACAGCCATTTTTTTGTAAGCTTGTGAAACAAGAATAATATGAATAATAATAATATGAAGAACAAATGGATGAATTTTGTATTTTCTCCAACAATCAGAAAATCAACATTTTTGCTATTATCATAATTTTAACAGCCTTAACCATTAACATAGAAGGTCTTGAGTGTTGTTTCAAGAACAAGACTGCTTATTAAGATTGTTTTTACCCATATGTTCTATTAGAATTTTTGTGAAATTTTGGGCAATCCCTATTATGAACCACTAACGTAGTTCATGATTTAGAAAATAAATACTCTAGCGCCAAAATTCATACCCAGTGGTATGCAGATATATTGTACAATATCTATTGTCTTATTCTATTATAGAATTTTTCAAATAAATTGCTCATTCCAGGCACATGCTGTTTTCACATAACACATAGTCAAGAAAATTAATAAGTTGCTTTCATTCCACCTAACTATGTTCTTTGTCATTTCCTTAAGACAACATTTTATCCCATGGAGGTATGACTGTAAAGCTGTACCTTGTGAATAAATGTAAACATCCGTGTCCTCCAATGATAGATAAGATGATGCCTAAAAGTTACAGCCTCCCTTAAGTTTCAATGGGACTGACTAGTCACAAGGGTAGTGCTAGTCACTTTGAGAAAGTCAGATGTTTAACTAAGTAATGTATGGTTTAGTCAGTCTGAAAAATGATCTAAAAAGAAGCAGTTTGGAGAGATCATAATTTACAATCCAGTAAAGTTTGTCCATAGGAAAGCACACACAGAATATTTGTGCATAATGAATAATGATTATTCATTTTATTGTTGTACAACTGTCTTTAGTCTCTGTATTTCCTTCTCACAAACTCACACAGTGAACTCAAAATTACTTTGTAGCAAATATCTTGTCCAAATCAGCCATTATTTTGTGGAGCTATCTTGTCACTCTTAGGAAAATCAATTCAATGTGAAAATACCACACTACTAGTAACAGAAACTTGGTGTCTAAAGGACAATTTTTATAGTCATTTCTGTGTCAGTAATGGGTACATATGTCTCTTCATATTTCTAAGTACCCCACACTCACATTGAGTACCAGTGACAAAACAAAAATAATCAACATCAATGTATTCCTTTTAGTTCATTCATGCATACCTTCTTTGATCCAGTACCTGCTTTCTTATAAAAAAGGGAAAAAAATTATTCACATCATGATGTTACATTGAGTAGCTATCCAAACACTCATTATTTTCAACATATTCCTTTCTAAAGTTATTTATAACCTATTCACTAATCAGCTAACTCACTCACATCAAACTGTATCACTGTGTCTTGTGTGACTTCCATGTCTCTAGTGTACAATCCCTGTTCTCCTTCATTTGATCCAAACACCATTGATTTTCGTTGTTCTTTGCTGAGGAAATAGAATTTGGAATTAATTAAAGCAAAACTGAATGAAATGTAAAAGGTCTGACTAAAATATGACAAAAATAAGACACCCTATAATCAAAGTGTTTTCAAAAGGTAGACCTTTCTTCATCAAGGGCAAACTGGGAATGAGTAAATTAAGTAAAGTCTGAGAAATGGTGGAGTGACATCATGGTTACACAAAGTAGACTACGAACACAACCTAGAACTGTTTTGATTAGTTTTCAAAAAGATTGTTACAGGTATGACTAATTTCTGTTGTGCAATATGACAGCACTAAATTGGAGAGTGAAAATGTTAGATATAAAAAGGTGAGAAAGGTTTTCTTAAAAAAAACCGAGCTTAAAAGGGAAATTATAACAGGTTTTGGTAAAGTAAATAAAGATATGATATGGAAATCAATTAGCCAAAAACTGTTTAAGTAGAAAGAACTAAATAATATGAAAAACAAACATGAAAATTTTTTATAAATAAATGATAAATATCAAGAAAGGTAAGAGGTGAAAAGAAAAACACAACAAATGAAAGAATTTGTTTTTGTAATTGTTGAAGAAGGAACTAATTAAGGGTTGAAAATCATTAATTCAAGGATCTAAGTTTATTCCACAAGAATAAATGATATTTAAAGTACCAAATCCAATTCTTTAATTTCCTACCAATGTTAGTTTTGAAACCAGCTATGAAAATTGCAGTATTAATAGAATAACCAGGTTGGCTGAAGTGTTGGGCAACAGGGAGATTTTTTTGTGTGTTAATAGAAGATTTATAATTTTTGAAATGCTCTTTCGAGTCATTTGAGTCAGTCTTACATACTGGTGATTCTATTTTTCACACTGTATGAAGTAAGTTGTTTTTTGTGTTGTGCAAGTAATTTTAAAATGTTTTTGGTCATTTTTGTCAGAAAAAGGGTTGGAAACTTCTATGGATTCACAGGTTTTAATACATGGATGACACCCATTCTGTGGTGGGTTTTAATTCACTTTTACATAAACAAAGATAAGTTTAAAATTTTTGCTCTTCCAGAAAAGAAAATGGGAATGTAAGGGAACATCTGTCTTAGGAAATCGTCCAGATTCAATAGCTGGAAACGTTTTTCTGAAAAGGTGAAACCTTTGTGAGTTTAAAGTGATAGGTAATAACAACTGGAATTCTGTTTCCATTTTTATAAAGTATTAAGGATGGTTTTTCAATGAGTGTTGTTAGCTTTTTCAATCTGATGTGTTAATTTTGATATCGTTATAAACTCTGGATTCATAGTTTGCCTTAGATTCTCAGTGTGTCTTCTATACCAAGTTTCAAAACTAAAGCTGAAAGAGAAATGAAAGAAGCCTATTGGATTGCTATTTTTAATACCATTCATCCTTGTGGAATAATTTGGTTTGGTTTGTTTCGAATTTTGCACAAAGCTACACGAGGGCTATCTGTGCTAGCTGTCCCTAATTTAGCAGTGAAAGTCACTACCCACTGCCAAGTCTTGGATTACTCTTTTACCAACGAATAGTGGGATTCACCATAACATAATAATGCCCCATGGCTGAAAGGGTGAGCATGTTTGGTGGGACAGGGATTCGAACCAACGACCCACAGATTGTGAGTCAAGCATCCTAACCACCTGGCCATGCTTTGTGAAATAATCCTAAGTCCTTGGATCAGTGATCTTTGCCCTTAATTAGTTCTCTGTGTGACAAATACAAAACTTTTTTCTTCCTCATGTGTAATTTAAGTTCTATATTTTTACCCATAATTTTCCTTAAAAACTTATTATTTATTTATGATAATTATCCATGTTCATTTTTATCTTTTTAGTTCTTCCAATTCAAAATATTTTTTTGAAAAAGATTTTTATAGAATATCCTTATTTTGTTTTATCTATACCCATTATAGTTTCCCTTTTAACTTTACTTTTTTTAAACAAAAGCTAACCTCTTTATATCTAACATTCTCATTTCCTTATTTATTATTGTTGTATTGTGACAATCTTTTGGAAGCTAATTAAAACAAAACAAGACAAAACTGGGTTGTCATGGTAGTCTACTTTGCATAACCATGATTTCCCTCCACCTTTCCTCACACTTTACTTAATATAATCCTTCCCAGTTTGCCCATTAAGAAAAATACTGAGTTTAATAATAACATTTTTAATTTAAAGGAAACATTCAAGACTCCAAGTTTAAGTTTTCAAATTCTTCCAATTTTGAATAAAGTTAAAGAAATAATTATAATTGAACTGATTTGATAAAACCTCACGATACTCAATTTTCAACAACTTAGATGGACCATTAGGTCCCATGTTGTCCCAAAATATTATGTTATGTTAATATAAGCTATCCTTTCCTGTGTCTTATAATGTTTATAGTATCAATATCTGAAATTCAAATATTAAAAACTAATCCCATCATTTTAAAATAAGTACATTATTAGCCTATGAAATGTTGACAACAACAAAGATATAGCTGGTACCAAATTAAAACAAAATTATTCTTGTATAAAATAATTTAAAACTCTTAAATAGATACAGAAACATCTTGCAAATTAGCTAAAGATGTATGTTTTTCATTGAAGATATAAATCTCTGCAATTGTTGGGAATCTGAAGAACACCTATTAGGATACAGTTTATCATTATCCATATACTCCCATAAGTGGTGTGACTTTTAAATAATCCTTTATTTTATATGTATGGTGTTTTTAATTGACTTTTATTTACAACTGTGAACCTAAGTTTATATAGGATTTGAATAATATGGAGCATTGATGCTAATAATTTAATCTTTTAAATTATTCAGAAAACAAGCTGTTTAAAATACTAAAAGTAAATCTATCATGTGATTCCCCACTTGTCACTGAGTTATAGTGATTTCAGGAAATTTGTGTGATAATATTCTTCAAAACCTGTATTTCTTTTCTTTTAAAAATCCTGAGCTGTCCCAGTTTTAAGTTTTTAAAGGCACTTAGTCAGAAACCTACCAAACTTGGAAGGTTATTCACTTTTTTTAAGGCAATAAAGTACATAAACTGTGCACATACAGGCACCCGTAAATGTTCAACTGTTTATGGGCTACCTTAACACATGTATTTACACTCATAATGATGTGTATTAAAGAAATAATATTATATTGTTCACTTTTCAACCATTAACAGCTTCCCCACAGATACCAAAGGATTTGTGTTTACTATCATTCTTCATAAATGTTGCTATAACATGATATAATATAATTTTTTTGTTATAAACCTTTCTACAATGACATATTTGTCCTTTGCACTTAATTTGTTTTGTTCATTACTTCCCTGATTTATTTTCATAAACACAGTACAATTATTTATAGAACAATACATTTATATGCAATTTATTTACATGTATATATATGTGTACTTAATAAAATATTTAGTTCTGGTAAAGCACAAACAAAAAATAATTGGATTTTAAATCTTAATGATTTCAAATGGGCATTAAATAGTTGTACTGCATTTTGGTTTTATTCAAACTTTATTTCATGCATGAATTAAACTGCATTAAACCTGGTTTTACCTTTGGATTTTTCTTAATCTTTGTAAGTGAAGATACTTTTTTTTACATAAATATATATGTAGATATTTTATTCATAGAATTATGCCTTATATAGTCTAAGAAAACTTGAAAAGTCACAATGAACTAGAAGTATTCATTTACTTACACATTGAGAGTAAGCAATAAAGTTTATCTAGTTTATAATTTAGGTGTACTTTATTTAATATAGAGTAGATGTAAAGTAGAGTTACAGTTGTATCTAATTTTGTTTGTGTTCTTTTAACACTTTTCAAATGTTTATGCAGAAAAATGATTACCCTGAACAGAAAGAGTCTATTCTGCCTCCAGGCCATGTCAACCAGGCATCATGCTGTGGTTCTGTGTCAAGAGGGTCATACAAAATGTTTGGATTTATAGTCATGCCTCCAATGATGAAATCATCAATAACCCATTCTGACTTTCCAAAACCTGACAAAGAAAACAAACATTCATTGACAGTGACACAGAATTTATATATTCATAAATAAAACAGTTCAATTTCGATTATACAATCTAAATTTTTATTACAATCACAATAGGAACCCAAACAGTATTTTTAACCCTAAAATTATCGTCATGGTTCATATGGACACAACCTCCTCTATAAATACATTTTTCCTGAACCTTTGAATGCTCCAAACTATTTGTGGGCTCATGAATTCATTGGTTACAAGGCCCTTAAGAACATACAAATAAAACAAAAAAATACCACCAATATCAAGATACCCAATGTTTCTTACATACAAAATGAGAGATTCCTACCAATGTTTCTGGTCTATTCTTTACATTAAGTACTGTAAGAGACAAAAACATAAATTTACTTAATATACTGTAGTAAATGTTTACAAATGGTAACAAAATAAGAAAAAAGAACCTGAAGCTTTTTAGCATGCAACACTTTCTTGGGGACCAAAATAGAAAAAAAAAAGAGAGAGAAAATAGTAAACATTAAATGTCACATGGCAAATTAAAGTATGCATGACCCAGTTACTGTTGACTTTCAAATATGAAATGAAACATAATTTCTATCTATTGTAACAAGTATTTTTCAGATACCATCAAAAGTTTAAATTACTTTTTGAACAAGATCACTGAAAGTTTTTTTTTTTAATAATATGATATTCTAAAAATAAATTGGAGTCAGATTTTTCAACCTGAATGGAACCTTATGTATATTTGGGCTAAACACAGCCAAGTCATTGACTCCTTAGGTTCGGGTACAGCTGTTCTTAATTTTGAGCTACTAATCAGAGGAAGAGCAGACACCAGCAATTGCAATCACGGGGGCTTTGTTGAAACAAATAATAGAACTTACTGTCACTTTTTTAATGTACCCACAGATGAAAGCATGTCTAGTAACATCACATCTTGAACTTTGGACCTCTTGATCCATAGCAACCACTAGGCCAAACTTTGCCCCAACAAGGATAGACCAAGCACACTAATGTCTGATCTTTGCAACAATTAAAGGTTATGAACCTAGTTCTTAGAAAGACATGTGTAGTAATTTGTTACAAGTAGAAGGAAAAAGACAAGACTTGGTTTGAAGATGAATGAAAAACAAATGTTTTATTGACAAATGAAATAGAGGAATGAGCTACATAATGGTTGACCTAGAAACTATTGCATTGTAATGGCCTAAAGAAGAATGAACTAAAGGTAAATAAAAGAAACAGTATTTAAACAGAAAAATGCAAATAAACTTCACTTAAAAGTCAACTAAACAAATATGGTTTGGCTGTTTAACTAAAGGATGAACATGATTAGAATAGTAATCTAGAAATACCACAGACAAGACTTCACAGCAAATTGGATCACAAGTATCTGGAGCTATCTCTGGTCCATATAAAAACCATAAAATAGTCCCATATACAAAAGATAATGGAGTATATGATAAAACTAATCAATGAAAGAGTACACAAATTCTTGGACCAAATCCTGCTACAGAAACAGCTGCATTAGGAAAAACTTTGACATGTTCCAAATTACAAATCTATATATATATATACTATAGGAGAGTGAAATATATGGTATTACTTGAATAAAACAAAAAACATGAAACAGTGAGAAATTGTAGTTTCAATCAATGGATACAAAATGTCTGTAAAATAACCTATAAGAATTATTTGGAAAGTTCAATAGATTTGGCCAATAATAAAAGCAAAATGTTAAGCATGATAAGCTGCTTTAGATTCATCAGGTGTGAATCTAGTTTAATATTAAACAAAAACACCATGGCTATAGGAACAAACATTTCTTCAATCAAATGTTTCAGAATTTGCAACTTCCAACATCAGGAAGCTATGAAGAAAAAAAATTAAAAGTGTGACAGAACAGCAATTTATATAAAATATAAATCTGGGTTAAGATTTATAATTTAGCATCTTTTTTTTAGCTGATCTTCAAGAGTATGGATGATTTTATCAATAATCTTTTAAGAACCAGGACAACGATTGAGTTGTCTCACTGGATGTCCAAAGAATGAAACTCTGTAATGCTTGTTGAAGTGGTGAAGAGCACTCTTGGCTTGACAGAAAACTTTTCTGAGTCATTCAGGGGTTTGATCTCACACTCAGATCAATAAGTTTGCCAAGGGTTCTGCCAGGACACAAAGACATCTCTCAAATGGTATCTCACAAAGAGCATAAGATAGAAATAATCTGGATAAATCAATGAAACAAATGAAATATCACTTCAATAATAACTGGATCTTGGTCATTGGCACCAAAGTTTATCTTGATTGAAGTAATTGTGGTATTCTGGTATTCCATGGTTTGTAACAGACAGGCAGAATACATAGTTACTTGATCATCATAACAAGAGATTTAAAGATCTAGTACATAGGAAGATAGGTGCAGTAGTGATTTGTTGTTGGTTGAACGAAAGAGACAAGACTTGATGCAAAGACAGTATAAATTAAAACTTTATTCACAAGAATAGGATGATGTCTGGAACAAAGGCCAGTTGTATAGGGTGGATGGAATTACTATTGCTGAAGTTGAAGAAACTGAACTCGTTAAACTTAAATATATCGAAGATGGAAACCGTATTTATATAAAAGTAAATAATCTTGGTTTTAATAATCTAATTTAGAAATTATTAATATGGCTAAGAGAAAGTTAATAAATGCACATTTAGTAGCTCAATGATCACTAGAAGATACACAGCCAAGACTTCACATCTTGACTCCTTCATAGCTGGAATGAGGTTTCTTTGAAATTGCCAAAACTGCTCTCACAACCCATATTCTCTCTCTATAACTGATCAGTTACAAAAATGGATCATTAGACTTTTAATTCAAGTGATGGTCATTAATTACAATAATAACTAGGATTAACACTGGCTTTAAACAACATGCTGTAATCAAACTTTTATTTACCAAAAATGAAAATCACTGTGAAATCTTGCTCCCAGTCTATGTAGAAATTGTTAGGTGTCATATTGCTCATTGTGTAAAGACAACAATTGGAAAGTTTAAGGGAATGGTCCTTCCACATCCAGTATATAACCTTAAACTAGTATCTTATGGCTACTCAGTTCTTGGTCCTAACACAAGAACACTCTGCATAAACAACGTAAGTCTACATGCATGTGGATTCATAATATTGCACCTGCATTTTAACAAACTGGTTAGACTGATAAAGTACAGAGAATGGTGAAAAAATTTAATTATACTAAATACAGACTACACTGAGATGTGATATCTATTGTCCACATCCTCAACCATTTATGTACATTTGGGTTATAATATGACATGGTTGGTATATAGAATATAAAATGGTGTTTCTTTCTTTATAAAGAAACTGTACACTAACCTTCATGTCGAGGCTGCCACAATCTCAGTCTTGTGGAGTTAGTGTGCACACCAGGATCTTCCAGAGGGATGACAAAGAAAGTTGGTCCAGTTTCAGCCATAAAGTGAATTTCCTACATGAGAAAAAAAATCAAAATATTAAAGTATGAAATAAAATTTTGTCATTATTTATAGAGTGAATCATTATGCATATATTTAAATATGTACTTAACAGTTTACAACAAATACTGTTTCAAGTTTACTTCCATTTGTACTGTCTGACATACAAACCTGATAAGAACTACAGAAAATTACATATGTTACATTAAAAATGATTTTGAATGTGCAAATCAGCAAGTCGCAAAACAACCATAGTCAATATAAAATCATAATGGAATGGCATGCATCACAGCTACATTTTGGCATTTTTTTAGCATTAGATAGATAGTGTATCACTACCAAAAATTGACTGCTTTTGGGAAGGGTATGTATCAGCTATTTTGTGATGTAACATACTCATACACTCAGATCATAAAGAAGTGAGTAGATCAGATTTGGAAAGGGTGTGTAGCAGCTATTTTTTGATGCAACGTACCCATACACTCAGATCATAAAGATGGGAGTAGATCAGATTTGGGAAGGGTATGTAGCAGCTCTATTTTAATGTAACGTACTTATACACTCAGATCATAAAGATGTGAGTAGATCAGGTATTTAGAATTTAAAAGACAGAGATATCCTTTGTACTTAACAAGATTAGTAAACAAAGGAATAAGGATGAACTTGAGGCACCAGGCCATCCAGAAAGAAACGTACACTATATGAGAGTATTATTTAGTTTATATTGTGCGAGTGTTTACGATTCATTTGTTGTGTAGTTAAACTGTTGTGAATTAACGTCATATTACTCAGACCTTCTGAATTTTTCTCACTGCTTTAAGTGAGTGTTGTTACATCATAATGTCTCATAGTAAGTTAGACTGCTTGCAAGTTTAGCTGTAATTGGTGATTTCTAAAGTGAGTTTAACAGCTTGTATTGCAATAACAGGGATAGAGGAAAATAATTTGCCTTGACAAAGGGTGTTCTACAGTAATTGAACCCACCTGTGTGGACTCTGACAAAAAGGAGACAATCATATAAAGCTCTGGATACATCTGTGGTAATAAACAATTATAGTGGTGATTTTAAAGTGGGTATCACAGCCTTGTATTGTAATAACAGAGTAGAAGAGAATAATTTGTCTTGTAAAAGGGTGTTCTATAGTAATTGAACCCACCTGTGTGGACTCTGATGAAAAAAAGACAATTATTTAAAGCTCTGGATACAACTGTGATAACCAATAGTGTAAAGAATTTTTGTACATATGTTTGACTTGTTTTAAATATATTATTTTAAAACAAATGGATTGTGTGCTTTTTTTTTTATTGTTGCAATTTATCACCAACAAGTCACAGACACCTAATCTCAGCCCATATTAAAACATGACACATGGCTATCAAACAAAGTATGACCTGATGTGCCAACATGGACTATAAGAACATGGTAAGACTCAAAATAGTTTTAATATAGCACACTCAACCTCTGCATAACAACTAAAAATATTATGATTTAAAGAAATAATATAAGAAGAAAAATAAACAACTGAATTTAATGTGAAGGAAACTTAATTAAATAACATATGAAGTGAATGTTAAATAAAATATATGAGGTGTAAGAGTACATTTCTGTAGTCTTTACAAGTTAACAATAGTTCTCAAAATGGCAAGTTCAATATACTAACCTTCAGCAAATGCCAAGTAACTCCACCATTGTTTGAATATTGTAGAAGCAGACCATGAGCTCTAGTAATTTCAGAAGGAAGAGCACCACGACAACCAAACCTCACAGTGAACTGAACAAACTGTACTGTTGTTAGATCCAGGTCAGATGTAACAATCATTCTTAAGCTGTCCTATATACATAAAAACATTAGTTGGTCACAGACTAAACAACATACTAGTCTTGCTGTTACAAAAAATCTAAAATCCATTATGTTGATTACAAAATATAATTTATAAATGTACAAATCTAGAAGCGTTTGTAAACACCAATTCAAATCAATAGCCAAAATAATTCCTTTTATGTGTTGCATTCCAAAGATAAGTTAAGCACAGAGTTACTTGAACTTTGCAGATATAAGAAATGTTTGATTTGATCTTTGCAATAACTGAAGGTTAACTGTAGTTCTTTTTGTATTTTTTTGATGGTAGAAGATAAGAGACAAGACATGGTGTAAGTTAAACAAAAACAACTGACTGAATACAAACAAAAGAATGATTACTGGGCAGGACTATTGAAGTGAGATTAAAGTTGAAAAAGTAATCTCTATTGAATCAAAAATTGGATGAGGAAAAACTTTATTCAAATAGCATATAAAGTGAAAACAGATTTTGCTTGAAATGAAATAAAAATTAAACATGCATGTTCAGAAAATATTAAGTTAAGTGACCATGAAACAAGGACAACATTTCACAAACAGGTACTGGCTCTTCCAAGTCAAAAGCATATTTGTTTGAAATTGCCAAACTGCATTTAGAGTTCATATTATCTCTCTCTGTAGCTTACCAAACAGAAAATTAGATCACAAGTGCCTGGAAGTACTTTCTACTCTGTGTGACACTCATAGAGAAATACTACATACACACAACACAAAATATGACATAATACAACCATTCCATAAAAAAGTATATAGTTCCACCTTAAGATGCTGCTACAGAAAGTCAGACCGACGGTTGAACTTAGCACATTACCTTGTTCATATTCAATACATTTTGAGTAAGAGCCTTAAAAAATTTTAGAAGCCTGTAAATATGAAACATAGATTATAGGAGAGTGGAATATACATTAGTTGCACAACATATATGCAAAAGGCACTTTTGTTATAAAACTTTCATGATACTACAAAAATCTGTAGAATTAAAACAAGAGGGAATTCTCAATAGCCATGGCACTTGAAATTCGTTTAGGCAGGATTAGAGTAAATTAATCTATGCGACCTTTGTTTCCCTTTTCATTAGCTATATATTTGTTTGCCAGCAATACCAAGCGTATACCTGATTAGATTTCATTACACATTAGAATCTATACCAGGCTACCCTCAAATTGAAATTCTTTTAGGCAGGATTAGAATACATTAATCTATCAGGGTTTGACCTCCTGAGACAAAAACTGTAATTAGATCTCAAATTAGTCAAGAGATGATGGAGCTACGAGTTAAAAATTTGTACTTTAAGAAAAAAACAAAAAACTCAAAGCCCTTCTATGAGCCACACATCTATAGCATAAAAAGGAATGAATACAGCAATCATGATAAGCTGTGCACTTTTGGAAGGTCTAACTTCCACAAGTTCTCAGGTTATTAAGTTGAATGTTATAACACCTAAAAATCACTGGTATGTGACCCATTACAGACAAATTTTAGTTGTTATTTAATAACACCAAGTTATTGTTTCAATGATTTGTTACAATAAAAAAGTGGTGAAATAATTGAAATTCCCTTGATATGAAATAAATAAAGTTTAACTTGAAACTCATTGCATATGTGAAAAAATGTCCTGGTTGAATAAACCACATGAACTGAAGAGTATAAAGAAAATAATTCAATCTAAACATTGTGTAAATTGTTAGAGTGATGAAAATTTTAGCAAAATTTTAACTTATTTACATAGTACAGGATTTGCAGATAGCTGCTAGGAATTGATGATGGGACACTTTTCTTGAAATTAGATTTTGGTCTAAAAATTTAATTATTTCCTGCTTCTTTGAAGTTATTAAGATATGTGTCCTAATAAATAGTTAACTGAGTGACACAGTCAGTTGCCAAAAAATAAATAAATAGGTACAAAATATGCCAAATATGATTATATTAAATATTAAGACAATTTGCTTAAGTAATTCTTTATGCAGATAGGAAATACAAATCTTATTTGTATTCAGAAATATTGCTTTACACTTTTCTAAAAAAAATCATATAGAATTAGGTGAACAATCATATTTTGTTAAACTAAGTAGACTGAAAAAAAAACTTATAAAATCTCAGTTATTTTGCATTAACTAATAAAATACACCCAATAAAATGTCAGTTCTATATCCCTGATTAACAAAACATATCCTATAAAAATCAGTTTTGTACCATTAACAAATCATAAGTAACTTACAGAACATTCAGTTATATATCACTGGCCAGTAACATATACCCTACAGACAGTCTGCTCTGTATCACTGAATAACCAAACACACTATATTAAATACAGTTCTACATCAATAATTAATCAAACATGTCCTAGCAAGAGTCATTAACCAAACAGAAATCCCTATTAGAAAGTCAGTTTGACATTACAGATCAAATAATTATACCCTACAAAAATGTCAGTTGTATATCAGTTATCAAATGTCCCTATAAGAAAGTCTGTTAAATATTGCAGTTCAACTAAATATATCCTATCAAATAACAGTTATATGTCACTGACCAACCAAAAATACCCTACAAAAAAGTCAGTTCTGGATCACTAATCAAACAAATATCCATTTAAAGGCAGTTTTACATTACTGAACAATCAAAAAATGGCATGTAAAAAGAGTCATTTCTATATAATCAACCAAATTACCTTATAGAACGTCAGTGCTGTACCACTGACCACAACACCACATCTTGTGCTAATTTCTGCTCCATACACTTCAGGCCAAAGTGTTGAGTTAAGTAATGGATAATCAAAGGTGTCTTTTAGATCACATTGTCGTGGATAACTTGGAACACAGTATGGGCTTTTAAATCCTGGATCACAGCTGAAATTGAAAGAAAATGGTTCTTACTTTATAATAATAATACTTGATGTCAACTATGTATCACAAATAAAGCCTTCAAACTAAAAAACAGTTTCAAATCTAAACATTCTGTAAATTTTATATAATGCTAGGGGAGAGAATAACTAATGCTTCAGTGAAAATTAATTACTGATCATACTCCATTATCATTTAAAAATATAGTTGCTTGAACAAATTGTTTAATGCTTTCAATGAACCAAAATTTTAAATAACTATTTTATATACTATAAAGAAAGAAACAAATCAATGTTCAAAATATACAATATTGACACGATCTATCCATAACAAAAAACAAATTCTAAAGAAGTAAAGTTAAAAAAAAGTACCTTTTGTTACCAGAACCTATCAGTATAAGAAATATATCATCAACCAATTACACGAACAAGGTTCCAACAATAAAAAATTAAAATTCATTTGTTTTACAAAATTTACAGAAAATTACATAAAGCAGTTACTAAGGGCATTTTAACATAAATAATGCTTACATACAACGCCCATGGTTACAATACCCATGTCCAGAACACATCCAAGGACAGCCATCACCCAAATAAACATTATCAATAGCCCATTTTTGCCCAGTGGGCTTGTCAGAGGCTTCTTTCCAACGAAATCTAGTGGTAGGTGATCTGTGAAAGAACAAAACTGAGAAGTATTTAATTCACACTCTCAGCAAATACAAACAATAATTACTTACAAGATTTACAATAAAATAATATTAACGCATTCATTACCTAGATTCTAGACAAGTGTTTCAAAAAACAAACTGAAAACTAGCCATATTTCTTCATAAATCTTGACACATTATGAATGCTTCAGTTTTTTAATTTACATGTTTTACAGCCCAGAAACACACATGATGAAGTGAATAAACAGAGCAGTTAACGAACATCACAGTTCTATCAGTCAAACTAATGAATAACATTCTAAACAATGTAGAAATAAATGCTGTACTGATTAGAAGAAAGTTTAAAAGTATCTGCTATTCAAATGTTGCATTGTGTGTAAGCAATCCTTTTATTCAAATGTAGTGTTGCATTGTCTGCAGTCTTAGTACTGTAAACTTTGTTATGCAACAGCAACAAATTGCTATAAACATTTTATAGGAATAACTAGTGAGAAGTATATTACACAAAAAGCAACTCTGTAGTGTGTTTTTCTTCATTCTTCCTCTAGACAATGCATGTTGTTACCCACTTTTTGACCATTCATTTCAAATCAAAATAACATAACAGTATCCGTATTGTCCTACATCTGTGTGACTCAGAAACTTTAACGTAGCAAAGATACTAATAAAGTATGATATATGATATATATCACAGTTACATCTGCCTTCCACAATACCCATAAATCAAATCTTTAAATCAAAATTTTAAAGAAATGAAAGATTTAGATGCACACTGGGCCAATAATAATGATTACTTCAAGTTTTGTAAATGCTAGTTTGTTTTTCATGTAATGATAATGATTTCTACTGAACAAACAGAGTAAATATTGGGTCTGATTTTGTTGAATATAGTAATAGTAATAGTCACTAGACTTAAAAATAGAGAAAGCAGAATTCAGAACTCTCCATTAATCAGTGCTTTTTTATATACATTTACAAAGACTGCTCTTTTTTTTTAACACAGTCCTAAATGTGGCTGTTCCCAGTCTCTGGCTTGCAAACATCCTTTTCCTTAAATCAGCATCACTTTACAATTAAACATTTAGTTTTCTTAAGGTTGTTTTAATCTTCCCTTTGTTATCCCCAGTGTCACACAAGATATACTTAATATGAAACTAACAAATTCTTTATTAAAATAAAAAAAATTCAGAGTTATAATTATTTAAGACATGAAATTATATTTGCTCATACTGTATAACAAATTTCATAGCATTGTGATAATCCAGATTTTTGTCTCTTATGAACTGGACCAAGCGATTACCTCTTAAAGCATTACAAGTGCTCTATCAACTGAGCTAAAATGTTAACTCATTAGCAAAATGCTGTAATCGCCTAAATTCTTAAAGTTTTGAGCTATAACAATAATAAAGAATGTTATCCATGTCAGCTTAATATGCTTTAACCTTAGAACTGTTGAAAGGATACATGAAATCGATCGGCTTTTTAAACTGATTTTTATTAATGTTTAAACACCAAATTACTTGTGGATCCTTCACATTGTTGGTTACACAATAACTGCAAACAAGTATACCATCAATATTGCATTTAATCCCACTAACTACTGCTGACATCATCTATATATTTTACAATGGAAACGAGTGGTTTCACCCAATGTTTTTTTGGTCTGTACTTTACATTGAATGTTATAACAAATACAAAGTCACTTAATACAATGTATATGTGGACCCTACTGGTAGTGAACAGTACCAGAAACCTAATTTGAGAGTTAAGTTCTGATAGATACCTGGTTCTAAAATTTTTCTTATATACACATTCATGGAACAAATAAAATGTTTGTGTACTGTTATTTAACTAGCCACCCTAGTGAATTGATTTCATGACATGTAGATGATTTGATTAAGAGCAGTTAGCACAATGTGTTCTGTTTATTTTCCTAACATTCATATATGTGTATGCTATCAGAGGCTAATTTGGAAGTACAAAACATTTAACATAAAAACAGGAAATTTTAGTCAATGCCGAAAATCATCAAAACCAGCACTATGTTTGCAAAGTATTGGGAATCACATTATCTTAATGTACTGCAGGTGAAACTTATTATTTATTCATTCTATGTGAAGGACAGTACAGTTATGAGTTTATGTTATCAATGCATACGAAGAGTCACTTAATTCCTAAAAGTAATGTATAACATACATAGCTCGGTGAGGGAGGTGAACAGTTAATCTTGTCCAGTTTCCATATTGGTCTGAGAGCAGTGTACTACTCTGGTGGTAGCTGCTACATCCTACATCAGATGGAACACATTCTTCTGCTACTAGTGACCATGTACGTCCTCTATCTAATGAGTATTCTAAGTTTACTGCATAAGGTGATGAATAACGATTACACGCCAGGGCCAAATCAAACTGGAGGAAGGTAGCAGGAGTTATGTCAAAATCCCAGGTTTCAGCATAACGATTGTCAACTGTTAGAATATAAAAAACATTCTGTAGTTTAGACTATTGTGTAAATATAGTATTACTTTGGCATTTGGTAAATTCAACATGCATTAAATAAATGTTGTATACACCACACACACACACACACACATACAGAGGGTTGAGTGGTTATATTAAAAGTATTTTGAATATGCAAATCAACAAGTAATGTAACAATCGCAGCCTATATAATCTCATGGTAGAATGGCATGTATCAGAACTATATTTTGTCATAGTTTGACATTTTTTAGGTAGTGTGTTGCCACCAAAAATTGATCACTTTTGGGATGGGTGTATCACAACCTTTTCTGACACAAAACATTCATAGACTCATATCTAAAGATGTTTTTAGCTTGGTGATTTAGAATTTACAAGACAGGGATATCCCTTATACCTAAAGTAATTGGAAAACAAAAGAATATGGATCAACTTAGGGTTCCAGGACCATCCAGAAAGATACCTTCAACAACTTCTACTCCAGATGTAGTAAGCAAAGTGTGATGTCTCATAACAGGTGAGAAACCATGAACACAAATGTCAATGACAAAAGCCATCCTCTTGTCCTGAACAATAAGTACTTAACATAATCAAGAAAGATATTCATTTGGAAATGAGGACATTCCTCCTGTACAACCACTATATACTTCAAGCAGCTAGAGAATGAAATGGGTATTTATGCTAAGGTTAGGATAACACCTTTATACATTTTCACAAAGATGTATTAAAAGATAAAACCAACAATTAATAGAGCACAATAAATATTTTGAGACCATTTCCAGTCTAAAAATACAATAAAAATAGTTTTACTTAATAATTTTACTGTATAAAGATAAAATAAAATACTGTGAGACTGGGAACAATCTTATACACTCTGCATGCTTCGATGTCTAATTGATGATGATGGAGGTGAATATGACGTTATGAAAGATGTCCAAGATACTGTTAGGAACAGAAAACATTTTCTGAATCAAATGCTTATTAGACAATTAAATTAGTCATTACAAATCTGTTTCACAATAAATTTTACAAGACTCTCTCACCCATCCCAGAAACTTTCACCCATGTCAGAACTATCATTCATATCCATCACTTAACCTTAGATTTTCTATTTATTTTTCCTGAACTCTATGAGTTACTATTCATATTCACTTCTTAAAATCGCTTTATTTAGTACTGTTTATTCCTTTCTTTAAGCCTTATGAGTATCTTGTGGATTACATGAGTATTTGTATTCTAATGTATTTTTTCAGTTGTTTTTCCTCTGTACTTTGGTGTTCACTTTCTACCCACAGTATTTTTTTTTTTCAAATTCGATGATGAGGAACCCACTTTGAGACTAATAATGGCTGGAGAGGGCTTGAATGGGTAATGAAGAAAAACTTTAACATAAGTTTAACATAACAGCAAATGTACAATGTTTTGACAAGGTTTTGTCATCATCAGGTACCAGATCAGGAAATATTATAACCAACTTCATCTTCTTTTCCATAATGACCTTAATCCCAACTAGTTTGTAGTCAGCCAAGAATTTTTACACCCAAGTAGCCAGCCCAGACAACAACCATATAGGATGAGCATGTTCAGGAATGAGGATTCGAACTCATGACCTTCAGATTGTGAGTTGAGTGCCCTATACACATGGTCATGCCAGGTCCTAAATATTATAACCAACAATACAAATTTAATGCTACAATCTTCAGAAGTGTTTCTAATCATTTTGTTAGTTGATAAACTTTTTTGAATTAGAATGATTTTAATTTTATCACCAAGAATCACAATTGATCTATATGGTCATCCACAAAGTTGATCAATCATCTCTTTAATATCTCATATAATTTTACAAGAGTTTAAGTTCATAAAATAAACACAGAAGAATCACTTACTGAAGTCACTTGAAAAGATGAGAGCAGTATCTTTAGCTTCACAGGCAGACTCAGGAACTCCATGCTTTGTGACAACCAACTGTCTTTCTGCATGGGTGAGAAACCATCCTGAAATCCTGTTTTACGACTTTGGTGTGCATGAATGAGAACATTATCTAAAGCCCATTCTGCTTGAGGTTTACCTGAAAAAGGAAATTAAAGTGAAGGTTATCTGTTGTTTTCTAGAGAAAAAATATTTGTACATTTGAAAAGTAAATCCAGAATAGATCATAATTATAAGACAGCACATTTTAATTTGTTTTAAGAATATTATATCCAGTATTTTGTACAAGTCTATTTTACTAATGTTCAATCTGAAGGATACATGAATGGTGATCACTTCTTCAAATGTATAAAACCAATCAATACAGAGATAAATAAAGAGTAAACCATCTTTCTATTTACAAGTTTATTGTTTCACTAAAAAAATACATCAACAGAAATATTTTTCACTTAAAAATTCTAAGTTTAAATGTTATTTCTTTTATTCTGAATTTTAATTGCTCTGTAGATAACATATAACTTTGGAAATATTAAAATAGTAATCAATCATTCAAACAAGTAAAAGATGTAACTAACTTCCTTGTGTGTCTCTTAATGGCTGATGCCATCTGAAACTTGTTGCAGGTAACTTAGCAGCCTCAGGTATGTCTACTACTACTGTAGAACCTGTGTGACTAAACACCTGATGATCGAGTTCTCGAAGCAAATGCCAAGTTAGACCATGATTCACAGAATACTCAAGATATACATTTTCTCTACGATGATGAGGAGCTCGGCAGCTAGGTAGATTTTTGTCACTTCCAATTTGAATAACAAAATGCACAGTGCTGTACAGTAAGTTAAAATAGAAAAAAATATTTCATTTTATTCTTACACTTTTAAATAAATTATAACCTTAATCAAAGGATAAGATAAAATTGTGATATATAACTAAACTTATTTTTGTTTGAAAGGCTTAACACAACAAGCCACACAAAGAAAATAGTGAGTTTTCACCATGAAAATACTACAAAACTGTTCATATTACACCTTATTAAATTTTTTCCAACCATAACTATATACTAGTTACTTTCCTTTTTGATTCCCCAAAGAGCTAGTCATTCAATGAAGTGAATATTGAAAGTCAACTTCTTTAAATGCCTTTTTTTTTTCTTAATTTATGACTGGCTACATGTTAAGGAATTGGTTTTATTTCTTTTATTCAAGAGATTATCTAACTAAAAAAAAATGTTACATCTATGAAAATGCAAGCACCATGTGTTGTTAAAGCTACATTCTATATATCCATTAAATTTATTGATGTTCAAGATTCACAAAGAAGCAAAAAGAATAGCAAAATACCAGAAATCATATACTAAACAGGGGTACCTTATACTTCTTGTGTCTAAATCTATTGTCCTTGCTTCTCGTGCTACATTTCCAGTGAAGTACAATGACTGATCCAGAGACAGAGTTCCACATCCTGTGCCCAACTGTCCACCATGAATTTGTTCCCAGGCCTTACTAAATCCACCAGAATCAAACCTATCTGACATTCCTGGCTCATTTTGATTAGCAGCAGTGCAGTTGCTACCTAAATGATTGAAAAATTGCATTTTTGGACATGAAAGTACTAATTTCTTCCTCTAATTCATTCTCTTTATTACAGGAAATTCTAAAAGTAAAGTTTTATTGAAAGAAAGAAATCCTTTGAATTAGAAAACTCTTTTGTACTGTTGATAATACTGTTTCAAAATAAACCTGTTTAATAAACTTCTTGTAGCGTTTACATGTTTTATATCTAGTATCTTAAAAGTATATAACTGTAGTATTTAATATAAGGTTGGATTAAAGTTACTTTATGTATGGTATAGGTGGCATAGTTGGTAAAATACAGTTGGAACTAAAAACATTATAAAGATAACTGAAATCAGTGTAATTGTTGTTTGTTTCAGGGTAACATTTAGAAATTAAACTATATCCTAAATTAAAAAACTATATAATTACTTTTGCTTAACCCTGTGTAAAATCCTTACTAACTTTTGCCTTGATGAGGTTATCTTTCTATTTAAAATTAAGATTTCAAACACATGAATCTAATGCAATAAGATGCTATATTTCAAGACAAAATATTCATAATATGTAAACATATTAGGTGATAAAAGACTTTTTTTCAACAGTGTCTCAAGAGCAGATACATTTTTATTTTATTACAATGAAAGCAATGATAAATATTTTACACATGACTGTAGTAAAGCTGATTATATGATTTCATTTAGATAATTTTATGATGAAGAAATTTTGTAAGTTGAACTACATAAAAAAAACAGCAATTATACAACTATCCAACAATTTGCAGACTCAAACAGTTTGTTTGTCTAAGTTAGGCACTTGGGGTATTAAAATACTATCCACTTTTAATTAGATACTTGTACTTTTTGACTTAGTTACCCTGTAAAAAATTACTTATTTTTTTGTATTTCAGGCAATAAAAATTACAGCACCTTTATAGCCTGGATCACATTTGCACCTTCCATTATTGCAATGTCCATGACCTAGGCAGTGACCAGGACATGGTGAGCCCACATAAATTTCATCAAGAGCAAAGATTGGTGGATTTTTTATACCATCTAACAGCTGGATCCATCTCAGCAACGTTTGGCTGCAAGTAAAATATTACAGATTAGCTCAAGAACAGGTATCTGTAAACTATATACTTTTGATGAGTAAATATCATAACTAACATAACAATAGTAATCTGGTTATCTTCAGTATTCTATAAGCCACATTGAAAGTATATAAAACAGTAAATCCATTTCTCTAAAACCAAAAATATTCCTATTGACAAACTTTCACAAGACTTTACACAGATGGAAATTTAGTTAATGAAACCCATTTTTTACAGTAGCCTGATAAGTTTGTTAAAGTTTGTTAATGGTCAATCCTCTTACTGCAAGTGTGAGATGGTCTAAGATGTTTAACAACAAAAAAAACTATTTAATAAATCCAAAAAATAAAATAACACTATGAAAAATGTGTTAATTATTTGTGAATATACAGTAATTTCCTATTTACCAACAGACTATTTCACTGAAAAAAATGAAAATTAATAGATATTATGGTAAACAAAATACATTTTAAATTATCAAAACATGTTTTGCATTTGTAAATAGCAGAAAATCCAGAGTATTTTTATCATCCATAGACTATGGACCCATGGTCTAGGATAAGCTTCACCTAAATTATAACTTATAACTCAGTAGATAAATTTCTATTTATCCTTATCTTATTTTTTACATTTTTCATCCCAAAGCATTATTTTCTTAGGATAAATGTTAAGCTTTTGAACGTAATAAAGATTGATTATGAAAAACAATTGCAGTTACAGGGTTTTTCATTGCCTTTATTACTCACACTTAAATTTGATGAATTTGCACAAGAAACTATGTGCTTAAGCCAGATAAAATTCTGGATAGCCTCAACAGTTCTCTTTGGAATGATCTGTTTGTTTATTGCTAATCACAAAGCCACATAATGGGCTGTGTTTTGTGCCCACCATGTGTATTGAAACCAAATTTCTAGCATCAAAAGCCCTTAGACTTACTGCTGAGCCACTGTGGTTTTATTTGGAATGAAAGTGTTTAGAAAACATGCAAGTAATAAAATCTACACTAGATTAATTTTGTTGCTCAGTCATATTTAGCTACAAGAAGTAACATCTCACATTATTTATCTATAATTGGGGTGATCAGAGTAATATTGCTATAAAACTGATGTGTCTGTAAGATCATATTATAGGGTATTATTGCCTGAAGTGAACTATCATCTTTGTCACTATGGTAGGTCGTCACTAGCATTCCTGGCACTATAAAAATATAAATTTATCAGTTTGATAAATATTTAATGAAACAGCAATTAATATATGAACTCTTGTATGCAACAAACATCTAGATGAAGTACAATTTCTACTATTATAATACCTATTATTTTATACTTATCATCATTCAGACTTACTTGGTGCTCATCTTGTGAGATACAGGAACAACTACACGAGTCCAGTGACCATGAAGACCACTGTAGTAGACACTAGCATCATGAAGCTGACCACTACAGCCAATATCAGGAAAGCAAGAATCCTGAGCAAGGTTCCAAGTGACTCCAGAGTCATGGGAATATTGTAATTGAACAGAACCACCCCATCTAAATTCTTTCAAACATCCAACACTTATCTAATAATGAAAATATAGTGCTCACAATAGCTGACAAAGACTTAAGTTAAATTCATAGTAAAAAACATGATTATAATGTTCCCAAATAATAATCCTCCCTAGTAAAATATTTCTTTAATAAGAAAATTTACATTGTGCCCTTATACCATAGGTATACATGAGCTTCAGCATAAAAGTAATAAAGCTGAACTTTGAGTCAAAAATTTCAATATTTTTGTTAAAAAAAGACAGCATTATTCATTCAAACATTAATAAATATACACAGATGTAATATATAAGTAAATACACAAATATTTTAGTGAATAAAATTTAAAATATAATAATAAAAAAGACACACACTATAAAACCAAAGATAAACAATATATATGTATCAAAAGAACACAAAAAAAATCTCAAAATTTTTTGAAGTGTGTTCTCTTCTTCTCCAGACAATCCAAGAACATTAAACATTTACAAAACTTAACATTTTCCTGAACTGAAAATGTATTTCCAATAATACTGACCTTCTCTGATACTATAGCTATTGCTTGATCTCCAGGGATTCCAATCTTTACCCATCTAAGCACTGAAAATGCTTGCTCCAGTCTTTTATACCCCACTCAAATGCCCTTGGCAAATTCCAATTTGCAAATTTCTACACCAATTTAAATGCACCCTCTATCTAGGTACTGTATATAAGCACCTGATTCAGATAATGTAATCACTTTCTCAAGACATAAACCAGCTTTTTAGTGGGGAGGTAGGGCGGGAAAATGTCAGTGGAGGTAAGTATTATTGGAAATACATTTTCAGTTTAGGAAAATGTTAACTTCCAAAACATACTTACCTCCACTGACACTATAGCTAGAATCCCACATTGAAAAGGTGGAGGGGCCAGTGCAGACATGAACCATACAGAAAGCGTCTGTATAGAACAGAAGTGTACCAAGATAAAGATGGTACAAGAGTGGGGGAACCACACTACATCCAGCACAGGTATGCTCTTTACCTGGAACTCAGTTCCTATATCAAAGGGAGAACAGAATATGAGTAATTGTCAGTATAGGCCAGTCCCAACCAGATAGCTGAGGTTCCACAATGCAGGATTAGAATTAAGGGGTTGTGGTACCTATATCCCACAGTAGTGGCTAGGGCTATTGGACTGCAATGTTATATATACTTTTGATTGGATCCCAACCTGTAGCCATAGAGTGATGTATTTTGCAACACCGAAATCACAACGAGAAAGTAAGCAATACCGTAGTGGACAAATTTTCTTCTCTACCTGAAAAAGTCCAAAAGGCAACACCCCAGGCTCGGAATGACGAGATCATGTATGCCGTACTCAACCAAAGGAACAGAACTCATTCGGTTTGAAATTATGAACATTAATCTTCACTCTGCAACCAAGTGTACAAGGAGTATTCTGCTTGCCCCTGAAATTATGGAGAGAACGTGGAACTTGTGCTCAACCAAGGACCTAGGATGGGACCACTTTTCATTCAGAATTATTAGGAGATAGTGAACCTTCTTCAATGAACAATATAAGAAACCGACATTGAACAAAGAGAAGGGCCATGCACTCATCAGCTGGATAGCTTGTGCCAAATCTGAACTGGAAATACAAGTAGGCTCCCGTGGAGGCTGGTGCCACTTGTACTGACATCTAAGAAAAAACATCCAGGGTCCCGAGTAGGAGGGCCTCCAACTTTGCCCTCTTCTCCAAGAGTGGAGGAACACACTTGAACACACTGGAGGAAAACCCTCTGTCCGCCACCCCAGCAACTGGAAACTGGAGTGGTAAGGACTCCCATGCTCCACCAGTAGAGTCGGGGTGGGTGGGAGGGAATATGCATTATGGAGTCCTCTGGAAACTTGGCAACAGGTGAATCAAGTTCCCTACATTTTCAAAAGCAAACCAACCACGATTTATTCAATCTGAAGATCAGCAGGGTCCCCTTTAGCTTTACTCATGATAGTCCATGAGTGGCAGTCCATAATAATAAGGTAATACCACCCGGTAGGCACCTAGATGGTTTTATGGAACACCCCATTTCAACAGAGCCTGTTGCAACCTGTAGTAATTATAGTGAAAGTGGTTGCTAGTGTGGGATTGAAAAGAAAAAGCATACTTGCCTGGGCAACACTTACCACAAAAAAAAACATATATGATTGATGAAAATACTCACTTCTGGTGAAAATCTAACAGATGTGGTCCAAATAACTACATGGGTTAGTCAAAAACCCTCAGAAGACGAAACTACCAGATCATGTAAGTAATGAGATAGGAAAGTATTAGGAGTAATCCACATACCAGACTGCACAATGTCTTCCAGAGGGCAATTCAACTGAGCGGCTGGTGAGATATGACATGCAAAAGATTCCTCTCCTGTAATGATAATTCATTATAGGCCATGTGAATCAATAATATGAAGCCACCTCATTAGAGTAATGAGAAATAAGTAACATGAAAAAGAAGGATTCCAATGAATAAACAATCTATTCCTACTACCTTGAAATGAGGATGGCCCTAACAGGACATAACAGTCAGGATTGAAGCAGTCATAAGGGTGAGAAATGGCTGGCAAATGGATTGGTGAGAAGAATTTTTCCCCTTCCCTAGCTTGACATCAGAGTCTTGGACAGAAAGGACCTATTAGGGTAAAGCAGGACAAATGTGGAATGATAAAGAGTCCAAAGCATAGGAATTGCAAACAACTCCAACCGACAACATCCACAAGCCAATAAGAACAAAAAATACAATTTAAAAGAAAGGTGGAATAAAGAACACGAAGCTAAGGGCTCAAAGAGAGAATGAGGCAATGCATGTAAAACAACTGTAAAATCCCAGTTTTGTAATTGAAAAGGTCATTTGGGTCGAAGAATATGAAGGGTTTTGAGTAGAACTGATAGTACTGAGGATTCAAAAAAACATTCCGATATTTGGAATACCAAAAAATAGTGGATAAGGATGCCTTATATAAAGCCACTGTAAGTGAAGCAAAATCACTCTCAAATACCTAAGTCATAAAATGGGTTATGGTGGATACTTTAGGATGAAGAGGATTGAAATTCCTTTTAAGACTCCACTGACGATAAGTATTCCATTTCCGTTGATAAACAGCTGTGGTTGGCCTATGGAGAGATTTAGTCAAATACAGAGAAACCATAGAAGTTAAACCCTCATGCTGGACAAAGGACCGCATAACTTCCAAGTATGAAAAATGAGTTTCCGAACACGTGGATGGAGAATGTCTGATCGAGGTTGTCTCAGAGACAATGTAAGAGGTAGAGGAGGACATACCTGCAGATACCGAAAAAGTGGAAACCATGTTTGAACTGACCAATATGGTGCAACCAAGATAACTCGATAGGAAGTGGAGCAAACCATAATCAGAAACCAGGGCAAAAGCTGAATCAGGGGGAAAAGCATACAGATGTAAATCTGTCCAGTCCTGACTGTACGCATCTACTACCAATGCTTGAGGATGAGGTATCAGAGACCAAAACTCCTGGAACATGAAATGCTAAAAGACTGATACGATGGGAATGAGCCCAGTAGAGAAGATCCAAGGTACAAAAACAAGGTCTCAAGAATGTTTGCCTCATTGACAAGAAATCTGAGATACCACTGTGGAATTGTTGGAATGCATCATGACAATTTTTCCTTTCCAGAGAAACAGACCTTGAACCATTGCCTGGTGTACTGCAAGGAGTTCAAAAACATTGATATGGAGGGTAGACTTGACTTCCGTCCAAATACCCTGGAACTCCTGACCTTGAAGATAAGTTCCCCATCCCTGAAGAGATGCATCTGTAAATAGATGGATCTCAGGACGAGGTGGTGGAATGAGTACCCCAATAGTAGTGTTGTTCCGATCCAACCACCATTCGCAATCGACAATGTTGCTCCTGAGTAATGAGACAGGATGATCCAAAGGATCCAAAAGCATGATTCATTGATCATGTAGTGATCACTGAAGGGACCTCATATGAGTTTGTCCCAAAGGAATGAGAAGCTTAAGGGATGCTCACATCACAAATTGAGATAGAACCATCTGTGCAGTAGGAGAAGGAGACATAAGTAAAAGCCTGGTGGCTTTTTCCATGGTTTGAAGCCTGATAGGGGTTGGTTGAGCACGACTTAAGAGTATTGAAAAACACACCCAGATGGACGAAATATTGCATTGGTGACAAAATAGATTTCTCCAGTCTGTTAAGGAAACCTGCTTTTGTGGCTTCTGAAAGGAGAATCTGAAAGTCTTGTTCTGCTAATTGATGGGATGGTGCCAGAAGAATCCAGTCATCCACATAATGAAGTGTGTACAAGTCCAAGAATTGTAGATGACGAGAAAAAGCTCGAACAACTCAGCAGAAGACATAAGGTGCTGATGCAAAACCAAAAGTAGAGCCCTGAACTACAGAACCTAGCCCTTTGCATAAATCTGAGAAACCTTTGGAAAGATTCCACTATGAGAATATGGAGATAAGCATCGGTAACATCGAACTTGGTCATCCAGAGCCCTGGCACAAAGTGCCATCTTAGGTTGAGAAAGGATTCCTCGAGGAGGATCTAAAATTAGATCAATGATTTGATGCCAATCTCCTGTCTTCTTGAGTACAACAAATAAATGCAAATAAAATCCTGGAAGAACTGGATCAACTCTCTACTCCTGCCCTTTTGACTAATAACTCTCTTACAGCCTGGGAACGAAGTTCCACTCGTCGTGAACATGTTGGAGGTTAAAGGAAACAGGTTGTGCAGATAAAGGTGGAGGTGATGTAGGAATGACCAACCCTGAATTCAGAGCATGGAATACCCATGGATCCCTGGTGAAAAAACTCCAGATGTCCAGAAAGTAATGTAAACGTCGTCTCCACTGCTCCCCTGCCCACAGGACAGATATCGACACTGTTGTTGATGGTCTATCTGAGGCAAAAAATCCTTGAGAATATGGACAGACTCTATTATGCAAACCAACAGACCTGGGAAACAAAGGAGGGGGTCAGAAAAACTAAGATCCAACACTCCCAAATTAGTGCCAGAAAGGCGAAAAGTCAACAATGATAAAGAATAATGTAAACAGGCTGAATCAAATTTTGATTCTAATGTCTCTGGAACTCAAGCAAACAAAATGGAAAGGAGAAAAAGAGATTCCCTTAACTCCCTGAAGGCAGAAGACGACAAATAAACACTTTTAAACAAAGAATCTCTACCCAATAAATCCCAAACAACAAACTAGAGAAAGAATGAAGAAGACAATCTGCCTGAGGTAGACATCAGCAAAATCCCTCAAGCTTTCAACAAAAGTTAGATTGAAAATAAATACCTCAGGACAGTCGTGAGAGTAAGATGAATCCGAGAAAACTGTAATCTGTTTAAAGTGATCACAGGTTCCAATCGAGACCCCCACTGATCCAAAATGGGGTCCATTCGTTGAGAATCTAAATATACCTCCTCCTGGTGGTGATAAGCCAAAGCATACTGTTCCAATAAATGTGGGGGACAAGGCATAGCTATCCCGTCTCATAACTGAGTAGCAAATCTCACAGCATGAACAGCAATATCAGGATGAAGAGGAAAAATCAAGTAGTCTCTTGCTGTCCTCTCTGCCAACAAGGAAGGAGTAGAGTCAAATGCAATAGGAGAGACCCCCAAAACCTCACATACCTGAGTAACCCAATGAAGAAAAGGGGCTGGAGGTAGGTGATTAAAATGATCCTCTGTTGAGGCTGACCTAGTAAAAGAAGAAGCTGGAAAAAGCGAGTCTAAATTCTCCACAGCTGGTCCAAGTCATTTGAAAAAGTTGCCTAAGAACCCCCGGGAGAGATATCCTCAGTCCGCATATATATGTGTGTCCATCTCTCAACGGATCATATCACGGACAGCCTCAACTGAGAGTGACCCCTCCCCTAGCCATTGAAAAACCCAGATAACAGATGTGGAAGAGGATAGGTCTGAATGACCATCGTAACAGAAACATTAACTTGGGAATTCATACTCGTCGATTTTTTAAGTAACTTATAAATATACGAAGATATAACCATAGTAATGCAAAAAATGATTACATTATCTGAATGAGGTGCTTATATACAGTACCTAGATAGAGGGTGCATTGAAGTTGGTGTAGAAATATGCAAATTGGAATTTACCAAGAGCATTCGAGTGGGGTATAAAAGACTGGAGCAAGCATTTTCAATGCTTAGATGGGCAAAAAGTGGAAACCCTGGAGATCGAGAAATAGCTATAGTATCAGCGAAGGTAAGTATCTTTTGGAACCAAAATACTACAGACTAAAAATAAACAAAAGTAAAAATACCATAATTATGTCAAAAATTTAAACTTAATTTTACTTCTAAACTTTTACTGAAATCTCCAAAAATTAGAACAAACATAAAAAAAAAACTGTTCCTATTGACACGTGAAAATTATTCCAACTACCTAATATACAAGTGTAGAGGATGACATTTTGAAAGTCTTCCATCTTCAGTCTTCAGATTTTCATCTTTCAGTCATTAGACCTGAAGACGAGAAACTTTTGAAACGTCGTCCTCTACACTTGTGTTTTTTTACAACAGGCTGTTGCTGTTCATTCCAGTTTACTCATCATGAATACTCTGCCTAAAAAATGTATCAAAGAATATATAAAATACTTTAAACAGCTTACTGGTCAACTAGAGACTACATTTAATAAATATTTTCTGATTTATTAAAACTTTCCTTTAAATCTGATACTTGCAGAACAAGGTAACATACTTTAAATTGTATAACATCAGATTGTAGAAGATTTAAGGGTCGGCTGACAGCAAAGCGGTGGTTTTCTTTTCCATGAAAAACCAAAACATTGTTTGTGGAGTTACAAAATGGTTTTTCAGAATACTCAGTTAATGCTGACCATTGGCCTTCACTTTTAGAAGAAACCTGAAATTTCCAAAATTAGTATCATTAGAATCATAAGCTTAGATATATTAAATTTTTTATACTAAAACCTTCTACAAATGAATGAGGTATATATTTAAATTTTAGTTATTGAAAATATGTTTCAGAAGCAATACTTCTTGAATTAATATAGATGTTTTATCTATCATTCAAAGACAAAAATTCACTATTTTCAAAATCCTAATAACATGACAAAAAACATTATAGAAAAATAATAATAACACAAAGTACAAAGTAATGTACTTTTATTTCCTAACCATCAAAAACTGATTTGACCTACATTGACCTCATATTTGACCTTGTCATTGTTCAAATACAGATCATCCAATGCCCACTGATCTTGACCAACACCAGAGTGTTGGGGTTGCCACCATCGTAGTCTTGTGCTGCGTGTCTTTGCCTTCAGTGGGAGAGAAATGTGCTCCATTCTAATTTAAAATGATATAATAAAGTTGTTTAGCATGTATAACTCACAAAAGAAAAGATAACAGATTTTGAGAGAAGTGTCAACGACTTTAACAAGCACTTAATTACTATTTCATATTAATATAACACTAAGCACTAAATTAATACCTTTAAATATGTGATATTTTGAACATGAATGCACTTTATGTGACACATGAGTTAAATGGCCAGGTCAAAGATCTCAATGTTAGGAGTAGCTGTCCCTAATTTAGAACTAATAATTAGAGGAAGGGCAATCAGTCAAAAGCACCCCTTACCCATGTGGATATTCTTAACTGAATAGGGAGATTGATTGTCAGTTTTATAACATGGCCTCAGCTGAAAGTGCAAAATATGTTCAAAAACTAATGACTATTGAATTAATATATATATATCTATCATCTTTTTTCTTTCTGTAGTACTTAAGTGTGTGTTATGTTATAGCAAAGCCATCTCAGGCTATCCGCTGTGTCCACTAAATGGAATCAAACCCCTGACTATAGTGTTGCAAATCAGAAGACTTACTACTGTCCTACTGGGGAAGTAACACTTAAGAGATTAATAAGTGATGTTGCTTATACAAATATACGATGCCCTATAATCTGAGCATTTTCAAAAAGTGGACCTTTCAAAAGGACTTGGGTTACAGGGTATCGAAGTTGTGTGTTAAACTGATTTCTTGAAACCTACATGTTTTCCTAATCTTATGTTGCTTATAGACATTTTTATGCAAGTACTTTTGTATTCTAAGATAATGCATATAACAATACATGCAATTTATGTAATATTGGGGAATAAAATTACATAAAATTAAACATTCTGAAATTCGTTTAACTGAGAAGAACATTTAATAAAAAAACAAAATACTTTGCAGATCTATAGTTTTCAGAGTAAAGTTCTCGTAGGATATCCCAGCTTATTCCTGCATCATTTGAAAACTGAAGAAGGACGCTCTCATTTCTGCCAGTAGCATTGTTACAAAAGATAGGATCACCTCCACCAATTCGAATAAAAAATTGGACAAAGTTCATGTCTTCTGTATCCATGTCAGCAGTTATCAATTGGCGTACCCCATCCTAAAGAAACAAAGTCCAGTTTCAGACAAGTAACTTTACAAAATTTCAAACAAAAAGTATTAGTATTCTTTTCTTCAATCTTTATTTGAAAAACTAAAATACAAACAAATGAAAAATTATAAAAAAGCTGCAAATATGTTATATTTCAATTAAACCAGCGTTGAGAGGGAAAATAAAATCCTTGATGTTACTTCACAAGAAAATCTATTTTAGTATTTATACTAACTGATGAATTAAGTTATTATGCATATTAGACAAACTTGGATACTGTTTTTCGTGTCAATTTCTATTTTAAAGATCATATTAAAGAGAAATATATATAAGTTCTTACTTTTAATTATTTTCTATGTTATATATCTGCCATAACTTGAAAGTAGATTCAAGTTACAAAGTTCTTTGTGGTTTATCAAATAAATACCTACTTGATAAAAATACAGAGATGAACCAGAAGTGATAATGCCACAGCCTTTGTCACCCCAAGATATGGTTCCACCACTTATTTCAAAGCCTTCTCCCTCTAATTTTTCGACAGATTCAAAGTCTTTCTTTTGAACAGCTTTTAGCTTTTCTTTGGGTAAGCAGTTTGTCCCATAAAAACCCTTGTCACATCTGAGCAATAAAAACACAGTTTTTCCAAGTAAATAAGTCTTTCATAGAATAATAATAATACAAAATAACACATTTTAAGGATAGTCGCATAGTAATAAATTTAGAATACATCTGAGAGTTAATTCTTTTCTAAAAAATTGAAACACTGTCTCATAAAATATCTTTTCTTTATATAAGATATTTTTTACTTCCTCATAAAAAATCTGTTTTGTGAAACTGAGCTTCTTCTTAAGATAAGGATAACAAGTTTACCTTAGTTAGATACATTATAAACATAATATATAACTTCAAAGTCCAGGTTTACAGTACATTAAATAATATACAGCTGTTAAAAAGGGTTAACCTTGAAATAGCATATATTATTGGCACCCTGCCTAAACAACACATGAATTTCATTCCTCATAATTGGTGTCAGCACATTCTCTGGATGATAACAAGAATTAATCTTTGATTACTCTGCATTTTACAAAATTTAAAATTTTCCAGAATATTAGAAACCTGAAGCAACTATGAAACCCAGCAAAAAACTTTCTTTCGACTCATTAAACCATATTAGGAAGTTCTTATCACCTCATCAATGGTAGCAAATCACCCATTTCTTTTTTGCAGCCATTCAGATAAATTCAAGCCTCATCTAAATTGCAATAAATTTCCATCTTTTATATGTAAGGTATTTTCTTCACATCACTCACCAGTTTTTCTTTCTTTCACTAATGGACATAAGTAGCAGCTTGTGCATTTACTCCCTTTCAAAGATAAGATCTTTTTGAATTATTCTGTGCACAGTTGATTGGGATATATGCAACTTGTTATCAATCACTTTCTGGATGAATGGGGGTTTCCTCATCAACTAGTCTGTGAACTTTTGCATGAAGTTAAAATTTGTGAATTTCTCCAACTGCTATGAATCATGTTACCAACTACTTAGCTAAATTATATGTGAATAACTGTGCTGAAGTGTCAGTCAATGGATAAACTTCAGCTCACCTGGAGAGGTAACTGATAATGAACAGTGCACACCAATAACCCTTATCAGTTTCTCAGAAAGAACCAGCTAAAACCATCATTATTATCTACAATGGATAGATTACAATTCTCTACCTGAGTTTGCCTGGCATGACTGACTTTGCCCCTGAAAAGCACACACACACCATACAATGTTTACACTACCTCTAGACAATCTGTCATGATTGCAGCCATAAGAACTGCTTTTACAGTTTAAACAAGTGCACAAAATGCCCTGGTGCTTTCAGTCCTTCCATTATGTAAAGTATGAAGAATCTCTTGTCTCACAGACCTCAGAACAACTAATTGCATCAGGCTCCACATTCACTTGGGTTATAGCAGCAAAATAGTTCACCACCTTGCACTCTCAACTGCTATGCAAATGCCAGGTTATAGACATCTGTACTGTATTCACTGATCTGTGAAAGCTGTATATCACCTTAATCTACAGCAAGATGTGCCCAAACAAGAACTGGTTCCTTCAATTGCTCCTCCAAAACTTCCAGGTTATCACTTGTGGTGTTTATTCCTTAATGTATGGTTTAATATCACTGCAGAAACAATGATTCTGGTTGCTACACTGTATCATGAATCAGGACATTCCACAAACAGACTCTCACTCTTTGAAGAGACAACCTGTCTCCATTACTCTACTGCTGGTCTGGATGATGTTGTACAACAAACTTATACTTTTACAGTTTTGTAATCTAACATGCAGTCATACCTTACAGGTTTTTTAAAGTTCATATGCTGCTTCAGTAACACATATGCTCCATCCTAACAGTGACTTTCCTACCATACGGTAATGGTGATAATACTCAACAAATACTAAAATTGCAAACAGTTCCTTCCCTGTCTTGCAATAGTGCCATTCTGATGTCATCAATATATGACTTGCATAAACAACGATATATTTCACATCTTTCTGCACTTGCAACAAAATCAATCTACTCCCACTGAAACTGGCAACTGAATCCAGGATGAATGAACAATCTTGTTTAGGATAATGCCAACACTGGAGCCTCAATCAAAGCAACTTTTAGTGACTGAAATGTTACATCATAGTCCGCAAACCGTATAAATTGTTAATTAGTTTTAGTCAGACACAAAGCTTAAAAATGTATATTTCTTTTAAGTCATAGGAATAGCAATTCTCAACGTCAGTGGACACTCCATCTTTGTCTATAACATGACCAAGAAACTACATGACAATGTATACACACACACTCTTTCAGCTTCAGATTCAAAAATGCTTTCCTTGCCTGATGAAACATTATTCTCTGGTTGTCAACAACAGTTTGAAAAGTAAAACACCAGAATATGATCTTCACAAATGAGACTTCTCCCACCCCCTTGTAAGCCTCACAGTGTAACTCCATTCAGCCCCTCAAAAATGGCTCATACAGTCCATCTTGAGTGCCAAAAACACTCACTTCTGTTCTCATTGTCTAATTCTACCTCACAGTAGCAGAACACCAGATCTAGTATATTGAACTAGCAGTTCATCTAAAGCATCAATACTTTTGTGTATATATGGTAGTGTGGATATGTATTGCCTACACCTGCCTAAGGACCACAAAAAAATTGGTACCTCTTCCTTCCTTCTTTACTATAACTACTGGAGAAGACCAAGCACTTTCTGGTGGTTGTATTACTTCTTTAATCATCCATTGTATTTTTGCATATGATGACACACTAAATTACAAAAGCTAGACTATATATCTAGTTGACAAATAATTTCATTCATCACAACTGAAGTGTTGTACTTTGAACACCAAAAAGGAGCATTAGGGAAAAAACACCACCATTTTTAGTTGATGAAAACTAGAGCGACTGAAAGAAAAAATGCTTAGAAGGAATTAATCTTATATACAGAAGTCAGATATCATAAGAATCTCCTGCTTATTTATTATCGAAAACTAAAGCTATCAGACAGAGAATAAAATATATTGTAAACAGAGTTACCAGAGTTTAAAACATTAGTTGCTGAATCACTCAAAAATATACACATCCCTTTGTACTAATTAATCACATGTTAACAAACATCTTGTAAATTCATGTCACATCTATCATAATTGTCCGATACTCACTGACAGACTCCCTGCATACATCTTCCATGTCCACTACACATATCTGGGCATTGAGGACCTATATATAAGTTATCTACTGCCCAGGAATCTTGACCATCAAATTCTGACTGACGTAACTGAAATCTTGTTGCACTGGACCTAAATTGAACATTAACAAATTAATTTAATGTTTCAGGATCAAAATAAATGGAAGCACTTTCAAATATATAATTTTAAGTTTACAATTTCTAAAAAAAGCTTTAAAAAAATTTTCTAAAAAATTATGTATAACAGTAGTAAAATTAAATAATTAAAAGTACACTTTAGGTATAGAACACAAAAAGTACGAGTAAACTTTTAAGATAATCAAACATTATGTTTTGATCATTTTCAAAATTTAGGTGGAATTTACTATTTCCATGTGTATATACATCAATATTACATAATGTTTTTGTTTTTGAACAACCTTCACATTCTTTTCTCAAACCAATTTATTGCTATGTACTTAAAATATTTCAATGCACATCTTTGAAGAAACAGCTTTCCTGAAAAAAAAGAATTTCTTTTTGGATAAAATTTACATATTTGAATGAGATATAAATTTCAAAAACAATAATGATATAAAACATACAGTCAGCAAGTCTTTATAGTAATAAATAGCTTCTATGTTCTATGTTTATCTATAGTTAATATAAGGATTGTGTATTTGCTTCAAGCTTAAATATTCACTTGCCAGGTTAAAGAAGGAAGGCTGATTGTTACACGTTTCCATTTTTTATACTCAGAAGCATCATAAACAGTCCCTTGAGTGTAAATGCCATTACATCTACCAGTGGAAGGAAGACAGGGCTTGTACACAGGGTGCCATGTCATTCCATGATCGGTGGAATATTCCAAATAAACCTAGAAAACAGGTTTTAAACTATTAAAAATCTGAGCTACATTTAGCTTATAATGTTTAGTTCTCTGATTAATTCAAGTCAATTATAATAAAAGGATATAAAGTGTGATTTATTTTTAAATCCAAAAAATCAAGATGTTTCATACAGTGAGTATTGTAAGCAGATGTAAAATACAAATTTCATAAAATTAAAATGTAGTTTCAAATATTTTTCAGTAAAGACTGCCACTTTATAATGTCTTAGAGCACTCTTATACCTTGTTATCTTTTCCAAGGCTATAAGCCTCTCCACATCCTAACACCAAGTCAAATTGAAGCATATAGGCGGGGCCAATGTGCAGAGACTTTGTTTCCAAAGTACGAGTAGAACCAAATGGTACTTCTGCAGTAAAACTAGGTTAACAAAAAATTAACATATTTCAATTAATATTTAAAGACTACACTTATGTCTAACTTCTTGATTGTCCAATGAAACTGTAATCCTAATACATGTGACCATAACCTAATTTTTTCTATGTAACATTACACACATTTGTTAGAATCTTTCATTACTACTGTTATGAATTTCTTAAAATTGGTAACTATGTTCATAATATAATGTTGTATGGCTTTAAAAATATGTATCTACCATATAAAGTGACATGTAATAATGAAATAAAATATAAATTCTTTAAATATCACATTTTATCACAGTTCTTTGAATGTTTTTTAAATAATGATTAAACTGCAAACAATTAATTAATTCAAAAATCTCATTTTAATAACTTATTAAAACAACTTAAGTAATTTTATTGGCATCAGAAAATAGTCAGTGGTCAAGACTATTTTGAGTTAATCAACTATGCTGAAAAAATTAAAAACTGCAGGATAAACATAAATAATTCACAGAGTAGCTGTTTTCCAGCAAAACTTAAAACAACAAAGGTTAAATAGTATGAATCAAATCATGAGGTGTTCTCATTAATACAAATACAAGACCATTTTTTCTTTAAAAATTACCTAAGTGCATCTCCATCTGGTCTGCAATAGCGATCAATGTTTCCATAGTTGTAGCGAATTGAGTCATTGATAGCCTGGAAGTCACTGAAGTTGAGACTAATTATGTTAGCCATCTGAGTTGACACTGAGAGATCATCAACAGCCCACATATCCTGCAATTCTCCCGAGTGGTAAGGTTGCCATAGTCGGAATTGGCAATTTTGATGTAGAGCTTTATCTGGCAGAGGAATGGACAGGTGTCTGATAAAATAAAAATAATAAACATATACATGATATACATATTTTCCTTTCCACATGTGGGTATGTATTTTGTATATATAGCAAATAAAGTAAGATAATAAAATAAAGAGACACAAGCTCTAGATTCAGTGTTTATTTCAATAAAGGTAGTGCTTTCACAAGATTAGTTTCTCCTTAACTGACAATGAACCAATTTTTTAACCTTTGTTTTAACACAGGTGTGAATGTTTGTTAGTTACCTGTGTGAAGACAACTAAAAAATTGGTTCATTGTTGGCTGAAGAGCAATTCTAATGTTGCAAAAGCACTTATATTATTGAAATAAACATTTAATCTTCAGCTCATGCCCCTTTATTATATTACTTAAACAAATAAACGAATTTAAAAATTTTTATATCTAATAGTAAATAAAGTATATACCAGGCGAGTCAAAAATCCTGATTTTCATTACTGTTGTGAAGTAGGTGTATAATATAGAAAATCTCCCTACATAGGATAGTTAAGCATATTGAGGACAATTTTTTTTACCTGAAATTATGTCTGAATATAAAGGTCAAATGAAAGTCAATCAAATGTTATCTCTGAAACTATCAGTATGGGGTAAAACCTGTGAATACAATGTTGTAGTACACAACAACACTGCTCCAGAAACAGTTTTCTTTATGGGTTTCACATAATTTTTTAAATCAAAAACATCTTGCTTTAATATAGAGTGAGTCATAAAATTATGCAAATGTATGCACAAGAATGATTTTGATTTGACCTTTATATTATAACAAATGCTTAAACAATGTATGTGAGCAAATTTTCCACATCCCACACCTACTTCACAAGATTCAGGACTTTTGACTCGCCCTGTACTTATATATATATATATATATATATATATATAAAGCCCTAAGATTTTAGAGCATAAAGTACCTACTATTTACAAAATATTATTTATTCTCAAGCTACAACTAAATTTTTGCCCCAGATTTTATTTAAAAAATGTTAAGTACTTTTGACATACATTTTTTACATAGCTAATTAATATTAACTTCTAATCAAGGCATACTATCCATATAGACCTGAACCAAAAGTCAACCCAGTAACAAATACCGTCAATTTCAACTAAATGGCCCCTGCTTAACAAAGCATCAGCTATTGACACTGATATGAAACACCACAGTTCTGAGCCTCTATGGATGGTCAGAATTAATTCATTTAAGAGATAATTACTTAATCTATATCTAGTATTTTAACCATTTACAAATGCCAGATAACTAGGACCACTAACTTAGGCTCCTGGAACTTTGTATGCTTCAATGTTTTTAGTAGATGCCAAGAAAGGGCACCATCACATGAATAGTGTACATAGACAGCTTCAGATGGGTGATTAGGACTGGGACAGGCACTTGTGTGAGACTGACTTCCAACTCTGATGGTAAACTGAATAAACCTAAAAATAAAAGTGTAAAAACAAATTTTACCAGAAATTATGTTGATGTTTATTTTATACTTTGACTGTTATACTGTTGAACACACTGAAGGTAAAATCTTTTCTAACTGAAAAGATTTTAAACAAGCAGAAAACAGAACTCAGCATAACTATCATCAATTCATAATTAATTAACTTTAATAAACAATGTATGAGCAGTATTTTATGTATGAGTATCTAACTGACACTTCATCCTTCTTCAATGTAACATCTTTAATAAATTAAATTATGGAATTAACTCTTAAAAGACTATATATTTATATTTTTATTCAGCATCAATTTTAATTATTTCCATACAGTGCAATTCATTTAACTTTTTAAATTTGAACACCTTATTCAAATAATAAATTGAGAAACCAGCTTATATATGAAGATGAGGCAAAAATCTATTGTTATAAGTTTTACTTTCAGAAATGTATCTGTTTTGTATTTGGGAGAATAATGTTTATAAATACCCTTTCAACCTTTAGTACTGTTGCGTCAGCAAGATCACGTGACTAGTATCACGCCACCTCCTTCTAGAAATATCCTGTTCCTTCGAGAATTGTCGGGAGACTACTAGATTGGGGGTAGTCTGGTATATATAAGATGGTCTCAACGTGACGGAACAAGTTGTGAGTAATTGAACTGCAGTCAGAGAGTGTGTAATTGAACTGAGTATTGTTGAAGTCGAGCACGTGAGACATTTGTTGAGAATTATAGTGCAACTGTTGAAATTAAGTGTATCGCAGAGTTATATTCAGAAATAATAAACCAGTTTTATTTAAGAAAGGACTCGTATCGGTAAAGTTTCTTCGGTAAGAGTTTTAACGGAAAATTAACTAACGAACAGAAACGTAACAGTACTATCTTTTAAAAATTTCTTCAGTATTTATATTATATTAGTTCTAAATGGAAACCTATAAGGATATTGTCCACAAAATCAGACTTTTATTTAAAATATGTAATGTTAGTTTGCTCTCACTTTTACCTAAAACATCCAGAACCGATAAACCGTACAACTTGTTGTGTAGCCTTTAACACAAATAGTTTATTGAATATGCATCAAATGAGTTTAAAGATACATCCACGGCTAAAATCACTTGAAGTCTTTAAAAAATTTAATGTATGACTAAAGTTTCTGACATAATGAAACTGCATATGTACGTTATGAAACAAAGGAACATTTTGTATACAAACATTGTGAAATTACTTCATTTTCAGCCTTGCTGTAATTGAACTTAACAATGAAAGAACTCTCATCAATCCCTTGTTTATTGCTTATAAGTCATGAAGAACAGTCCACAGATAAGATAAGTTAATTAGATAAGAAAAATTGTCCAAAGATAAAATAAACTAATCCTGGAATGACTTTTCAGAAAATGGTTAGCAATATTCTTCAAACTTGCAATCATTTACAGTAGTCTAAGGTAAAAAGAGATTAGTAAATTGAAAGTGTGATGAAACTTAACAAAAAATCGCTTCTAACTCATAATAATTCAATTCTAATGGGTCCAAAACATATTTTGTATGAAAAGTGCAATATAATGGAATACACACAACATTTTGTTTAATGTAGAAAATCTCAGTAGTGCATTTTTCAGAAAACGAATTTTATCTGCAAAATATATACCTTCTATACGGTTATTTGTCAAAAGTAGCATATGTAAGTAAGATGATATTTTGAAATAAAGCTATTAGTCATGTTTTTTTTTGTTTGTTTCAGAATTTCGTGCAAAG